GAAAGATATAAACTTCAGCTCAAAAACATCTGCCATTCCAAAGGATAGGGTAACTTGGTTCACAAGAAAAAGCCATTTTTCTTGTGAAAGCCATTTTATAACATACATTTTGTAAATTTTACATATGCATAAAACAAAAATAAAATCTATAATTAATTATTTTATCATAATTTCAACAATGCAGTATGATGCCTATGACAAATTTCTTGCATCTGGCTCTAGTCTAATGTCATTGTATAAAATAACACTAATCTGTGCACTTATTTAAATGTGATGACAAGATGCTAATAAAATCAGATGAATCACCATACCATGCCATTTAAAAGGAACTGTAAGGTGGATTTTAAATTCCATAAACATTACCCAACTGTATCCAACAATTCAAGGTAGATATGTTAAAATCAAAAATAGCCTTTTCTTATAACAATTGTAATGCTGATTTATTCTTAAGTACAAAAACACTGGACACAATGAGCATTTTTCTTTCTTTCTTTTTTTTTTTTTTTTTTTTTTTTTAATATAACTGTTACTATAATGTAGCATTTTGGTTCTCAAGATAATTATATAATCAAAGAGCAGAATGAGCCTCACATAGGTTTGCCAGTTTCAATGCTGAAATCCAGTTGGTTTAAACATAAAAGGACTCTATCTCTGATCCAACTCCTCACTCCCTAAACTCCATTACCTCCAGTCAATCATTAATCCGTGCTAGTGCAGCCTCTGAGTGAATTCTGGAGGTTCTGAACACATGAGACAAGCTCTGTCTATACTAAAAATGAGAAAATCTATCTGCAGGTTAAAGCACTGACAGCCCAGGCTCAGTTGAGATTGTATCATCTTTTTTTAAACAGTAAAAGTGCAGTATTAGAGGTAGCTTTTACAGTACTAGTAGTACAGTTAAAACAAATGTCTATAATCTTTACACAATGCCCATCAAGCTTCTTATTCTTCAGTTATAAAAGCAGTCAAAGATTATAACCCAATACAACCCTGTAGGTGTCCTTATGTTGTAGAAATCTGTTGGACAGTGTGTGAGGCACAGACACCCAGTCCAGGCCACCAGACAACTGCATAAACACAGAGGGGCCACTACCCACTGCTCCACCTGTCTGCCCTATGCTCTCACTTGGAAAGCTTTTAGCGCCACTTCATTTGATGCACAGAACAAACAATCTAAATATTTCAAAACATTTACATAAGATTTACACAAGCCACTGCACTTGCTGGAGTGTTATCATATTCCATGAAAACTGCCATTTTGAATGAATTACAAGATGCAAAAGGGAATGCACGTCTATATATCACAAAACTCTTTCCCTTTGGCTAAATGAACAAAGGAAGAAGCAAAAAAAAAATCTAATTTCTGATGACTGATAGCACTTACAATGGGATCGGGGTTAGATTATCCAGCAGTGAAGTGGTACGTTCCCATCATGGCATCTCTCCACCTCTGAAAATGGCTTCATTACCAGGCCAACGCAGAGAGCTCCCTGGTCGAGAGTACGAATGCACTGTACCCCGAGGGTCCGCTGCAGTGCCGAGGTGAAGTCCATTAACACCGGAGATCTTGTTTTTCAACCACTAAATAAAACAGGACTTTTTTTTCCTCTAGCATCTGCAGAATAAATGACCTTAGTGCAAGAGCTGGTGGTATGTACATCTACAGCATCTATAGTGCTTAAAGAGCAAACCACACTTTCTTAAGTTGAACCACAACACAAAATCACAGGCATTGTTTAGAGGAAACTGAGAGGAGCCCATGCCATGACATGCCTCAAGAAAAGCCAAGCTGGGACTAGACCAGCCTAATGACTTTGGGGTTATTTGTCAGAAGTAATTTAAGAAGCAATTACTATTCAGTTTAACTGCCACTATGGGTCAAATCACTGCACAATGGTGTATAATGTACCAAAGAAATCAAGAGTTGCCCTGCTGCTTCCATAACTAAAACTTGTTCTGCATCAATGTGTATCTCAAATGGCTCAATATAAATGTCTCTGTCTAAATGGGGATGGGAGGGGCTGCACAGGGACTCAGGCCATCTTCTACAAGGGATAAATCCATATCTCATATAACCAACGCCGCTCATGTGCCTACTTCCTGATCCCTCGGGCAACCAGAGCTGACTACCTTTGAGCGTATGACATAGCTCCTACTTTCCCAGCACTTTATGCACCAGTCAAGTGTCATCTGATGAAACGCTACACCCCCTTCACCATTATTTGTCGGGATACAGGAGCCCATGGAATGTATCAGATTCCTGCCTCAGGGGTAGGCAACTTGGAAATATGGTCCAACCTCTATGGTCCAGCCTCTTCCCTGCTCCCTTTTCCATTCAGCAAAATTCCACTAGAGGCCTGCTTGATTTACATCGCCTCATCGGCCAGCTGACATGTGCTTACAATAGGGGAAGATTTGAGTAAGGGTTTAGAGTTTCAGCACTGTTGTCTGCATCTTTATGTAAAACAACAAGAACTGACTGTATAGACTATTGCTCAACTACTAATAGTGTTTACATTATGTTTACAATCGCAGATGAAAAAATGAAGCTCAACTCATTCCAGTTACAAAGAATTTGGTTGAGCAGTGCAACAATAGCCTATGTACTCCGTACCTATCACCCCTCTCCAGAGAGCAACAGTTAGGCTGTGCAGTACTCCAGCTGTAGTATTGAGTATCTGAGTCACTGGACTGCGTAATTCAGTCTAGGGAATTATGACAGTGGAAAATCATTTCCCTCAACCGGGGATGGGAGGCCATGGCTAATCGTTCAGTAATCTGATCTGCCTGCATACTGCAGCATTCAGCCGTACTGCTAACCTAGCCAGCTAGTCACACATGTGGACACCCCTAAGCGACTGCCAAATATCTGATGAGGGCAAGCACTTTTATAAAACAACTCTCCAGGTTTTCCAAAGGATTACAGATGCTATCGGATCATTTGCTAATACTGGCTTGTGCTATGCCGTTCCAAATGTATTTACCGCGTTCGAGCTCAGCCGAGGATAAAGGACTGTGCTTTAACCAAACTAAGCCCAAGACAGATTTTAAATAGACAAATAAACTACTGTGAGTCTGCAACCTGCGACCATGCCTCTGCTCTGGTATATTAACCCAAAGAGGGCACAAGTGAGTCTGTTACACAGCAGTTACTTTGAGCCCTGTTCAATTGTAAATTCCTGTAAGTGTCTTAGCCAGTGGTGTTGTAGCATTATATGAACAAGAGCCACAGGGAGCTGTGGTACAAAGCGGTGCTTATACACACAGCTGACAGAGTTGGGGAACTTCATGCCTGGCTTTAGTCCCACTCCGGAGAGAGGGCTACCCCCCACACACAGAGTGTGCTACAAGGGGCACTGACATGGAAAAATACAAGCAGTGGCATGTTTTAGGCAACTATAGATTTTAGCAGCATAATGGTATACCGTCTTCAAAACAATTAAACCTCTGTCTTATTCACAGCAATACAAGTAACTGTGACTCACAGCACACAAGGCTTTCCTCTTTGAGGTTTGAATCTGAAATTGTGTTGATCATGTGTCATTCTGATAAACTGCCAATTGCTGCTTGATGACATAATCTGTCATACATTGTCATGCCAACCCCATTTTATCAACACACCGTGTTGGCATCACAGTATTTCAGAGGTACATCTAAGTCCAAAGATGGTGATATATGATCAAATGGCTGCGGCAGCCGTAGTAGCCTTCATCAACAGCACGCTACATCACCGTGTATCTTGCAGTCAGATGCAGGGTTACCACTACAGAGAAATAGATGGCACCAATGTAGAAGACTAACTTAAGACGTAACACTCCACAATTTAGACAAACTAGACTGAAAAAATACTTTGCTACTCCTGCAAATGGAATAATCCCCTGAATGTTTTAAACAGCCAGAGACATGTGATAAACAACACATGGTTTAGGGGGAAATGTAGAGCACCGGTCAAATAAATCCTGATGCATAACACCAGAAGAACGGCTTTTTTCAGACGGCAGTGAAGGCGACATCCAGGGAAAGTCCTTATGAATCTGTCTAATACATTTGAGAGTGAGTCATTCTATTTCAGTAATCTCTTACTCATATATAGGTGCACATTCAAGCGCACTCCCCAAGGCAATGGATTTTAGGCAGGTCTGGACTGCCCCTTTTCCTGCACAGCCATTCAAAAGGTGCACCATTTCATGCCAGACATTATGTTACAGAGAAACACTTTTCAAACAAGACATAAACTTACATTACTTTTTAAGATCTATTACCAATATAAACAATGGTAGTCTAGGCGACATGGCTTTTAAATATGCCTACAGATACTACAATCTGCCTTGTAATTCCAACTGTGAAAATTAATGTATTTTATAATGTGTATTTAAAATAATCTAGCACAGCACTAGCACATACAATGCAGATTATTCTGCGTGGGTCAATTAGACTCCTGCTCAGTCTTTTCGACTAGGTAGCAACAATTAAAGCGACCTTTAATTTACGTAATAATTTGCACACTAACATTTGGCCTTTTAGTGCTTCCGTGCTAAACAATGAACTACTGAATGGAAGCAAATAACGGACTGTGTTTCCTAACCAGCTAAAACGTACTTTATGAAAGATTTAGGGCTGCAGCTGCAACCAAATATCAAACAGTACTGACAAAGTTATCAAAACAACTGAACTTGGTCGTGGCTTGTACCAGGGTGCAAAGAGTCGAATAAAGGAATTCCGATATTTAATCGTGAGTCGCACAATCCCGGACAGCAAACTTCGACCTGCCCGCGTCAACCAAAAAGCCAGTCTTCTCCGTCCCCGTCCAAACAGGCGAGCAATGCTCCAGCCACAATCCACAGCAGCACCGCTCCTCGCCATGAAGAGCCAGGCCGGAGCTGGCCTCTTTCTCCGCCTGCGCCAGACAGCCTTCACTGGCCTGGCTCGGAAGCAAGTGGCCATATACGAAACATGTGCGAAAACACCGCTACGAAGCTGGGGTCTGGACGTATACTCACCTCGCTACAGGCAACGCGAAAGTGGAGACGCACAAACCGACACCGGAGAATGCGGGATTGGGGCGCGCTGGCCACACGTCGTCGTTGTCTTGCTTTTCTGTCGGCCGTGATGTGAAAGCAGCGGCACAGCTCACTCGGCTGGGAAGCAATCGGGAAATCTGAGAATGCCCCTTCTGCAGCTCCGTGCTTCAGCAGTGGTCCATAATTGTCGACAGGGGGCGCCAACGCGGCACAAGCTGATAGTATAGACTGAAGCCTATTCTGTCTGCAGCCAGTGTTTTACATAAAGCCTTTCCAACACTGAACGCAGACTGACAGGTTCCTTCATTGGATGTAGGATGGATGGATTTTTTCAATACGGCCAATAGGCTATTGCAGTCATACTGTCATTAGTCACTGCATATATTAGTAATATTGTAGTCAGGTAGACCTATAGGTCTAACCCACTTCTTTTCAGTTTTCAGTGAAGAACAACTTTTTCAGTTTGACACAAGAAATGTCACATGGTATGCTTGCCGCCACCTCAGTGCTCTACATAATTTCATCAATATGGCCTTTTCATGTTAAAGTCCATCCACACACTTAAAGTAGGCACACACCTATACACTCTTTAGCAAGTGGCCAGATATGACAGCTGATATGTAGCCAACAGCCCTAATTTGAGTCTCATCAACATAAAATAAAGAAAAAGTCACACAACGTTCAAAAGAAAGCATAGGACCTATGGCCTACTTATAACATAGCCTAGAAAAAATGTAACCATGTTCACCTTTTGATGATAAGGTTAATCTAAAGCAAAGCACTTGTGTATAATTAATCTGTGGTTGTTTAAGATATGTTTGGAAATGGCTAAAGTCCACTACAAATTCCTGTCTGTTTAGATGAATGTTTGTGAATGAATGTTGTGAAAGACTTGGCAACTTTAAGGACAGAAATCCCTGCCCTTTGACTCTACAACCCCAGCCTGACCTTAAATAAACATGAAGGGCTTACTGATGATCCGTAATCTGAACATCCCTCCCTCGCTCTACTAATTGGGGTTTCGCACAGCAGCAACAGTCTGACCTGGTTTAAACAGGTGGGGAAGTGTAAGTAGACTATAGACCAACTATAGACCAGTCAACAAAATTGGCTTAAGACCCAGATCTCACTCACTACTTCCAATGTTTCAGTGACTGAGCTAATTGGCTCTGGCTGCTGCTGTTACAAAAGGTTTCAGATTCAAAACACAGACTTGATCAGACAACAACCTTTATTAAAAATCGTAACAAACAGTATACGTAGAACCTTCTAGACCATCAAGTCTGTTGGAGAGTCTGTGTGGCACAAACACAAAAACACAAGCATCTTGTCTTGTATGACATTCGGGCTGTGTCTTAAAATGTTGTTGAGTCGGTGATACTAATGAATTAATTAATACTACATTCATATTTTTGGTGGCCTCTTGTTTTCCAGTCAGTATTGGTTCCTTTACTAGGAATTGAGGCATTGATGAATTGAAGAAAGGCGACCCCTGTAGGTGAAAAGCTCGTGTGCCGCCGCGGTGCATTGTGGTCGGAAGCCTCTTGGTTTTCGGCCTGTGTTGTGCAGGGTGTTGTGTTCATAGACTGTGGTTGTGTTCGCGTTGTTTCTCACTGTGCGAAATGGCCACGTCCCTGGGATCAAACACGTACAACAGGCAGAACTGGGAAGACGCGGTATGTTTTTATAACACAATAAATGACATGTCAGATTATTTTTAACGGATATTTTATTTTTGTTCCGAGATAGACGATGTGGGCAGGATCTTTGCTTCAAATGGCACTAACCTGGCGCGTATTAATGATGCTATGCTATGCTATGCTATGCTATGCTATACTGTGCTATACTGTGCTGTCTTTCCGCTAAATGCTAGTCAGCGTGGCCGTTTAATTGAGTGTGGACCATAATGAATATTGTGTCCCGAGTTCATCGAGAACAAATAGTGTTTGTACAGGATCTTCAAAGATACGAAACATTTGCGGTTAGTCATTAACGTGAAAAGCTTACGTGTAGTTAGCTATGCTAGCTGAGGTGAAATTAAGTTGCTAACTATTAATTGCGTTATAAATGTACTATAAAGTTGGTAATTTCCGTTTTTCTTGAACTTGTTATTTATTTTCGTACAGATACATACATTATTTAAAATAAGGCAACTTCAGATTGCATATTAAATTAAACTTAATTTATAGCTAACTAGCTACTTTGTCATCATGGCTTAAGCGTGGTATCTGCAACTCTTGCAATATTAGTATGACCTAATTCAATTTCTTGTATTAGCGCGGACTATTCTTAGTAGGTGTAGGAGAAAGTACGGTTTAGCCAATTTCCACACCTTGTACTTAGGCTGAAGCAGCAGTCTAGTGCGGATGCACTGAGAAAATGGTCTCAAAATGTTGGATCAAATTATCACTAGAGGTCCAGACAGTGCCGCTTTAAATAAGTTATGATGTCAGTGTTATTAAATCAACTGATTCATCCGTTTTCTTTTTAGGACTTCCCAATTCTTTGCCAGACATGCTTAGGAGAAAATCCTTACATTCGTATGGTGAGTATACATACAATTATGCAAAAGCTATAACAAAGTATGAGCAAATTCAGATTTTTTTTTTTCTAAGTAGACCAAGGAAAAATATGGGAAAGAATGCAAGGTGAGTTAAATACAGGGCAATGGCATTATTATTGAAGCATTTGCCTAATATTTAGTATATTTATTTAGATTTGTGCTCGTCCATTCACTGTGTTCCGGTGGTGTCCTGGGACTCGGATGCGCTTTAAAAAGACTGAAGTCTGTCAGACATGTAGTAAAATGAAGAATGTGTGTCAAACCTGTCTGCTGGATCTTGAATATGGTGAACCTTACTTTGCCAATGTTATATTTTTCTGTATACACTTTTGCCCACTGACTTATCACTATCACTAAAATAACACTGTTTGTACACAGGTTTACCTATTCAGGTCAGAGACACAGGGCTTGCCATTAAAGATGATATTCCAAGGTCAGATGTGAATAAGGAGTACTACACGCAGAATATGGAAAGAGAGGTATGTAAGTCTTTCATGTGTAAGTCTATGTCTCAGACTGTATGTATTGTTATTTTCCCTTTTGTTGTTTTTGTTTTCCTTGTTTAGATTGCAAACTCAGATGGCACACGGCCTGTAGGGCAAATTGGTAAAGCCCCTAGCTCCAGTGACATGTTGCTAAAACTCGCCAGAACCACACCTTACTACAAGAGGAATCGACCTCACATCTGCTCCTTCTGGGTGAAAGGAGAATGTAAAAGAGGAGAGGAATGTCCTTACAGGTAAAGAGTACTCTGTGTTAGGCCTGGCACGATAATTACTACATCAACTTATTGTTCAATATGTTAGATAGAACATTCATTTGTGGGGGTCAGTATTTATTATAGGGGCTTTTCCTTTGTACCAGTGGATAATTTGTGGTTATTTTTCTGTACTATGATAGAGATGTGATCTTAAATTATGAACTATTATGGCACATGATAGATACAAACTAACTACTTGTTAATTATATGTTAATTACATAAATAATTCTTCTTTATGGTTTGGTTTCATTATTATTGTTTATAGTGTATTTGTCTATATTTGCTACAGCAATATATCACACTTCAAAATTTGCATGCGTGTGTTTTTTTTTTATTTATTTATTTTTTTTTAAATTTATAACACAATTTAAATGTATTTATTTTTTTCCCTCTCAGACATGAGAAGCCCACAGATCCTGATGACCCACTTGCTGACCAGAACATAAAGGATCGTTACTACGGCATCAATGACCCAGTTGCTGACAAACTGTTGAAACGCGCCTCAACGATGCCTCGGCTTGATCCTCCTGATGATAAGACCATCACTACTCTATATATCGGTGGATTGGGAGACAATGTCACAGAAGGAGATCTCAAGTATGACTAATAATGACGTGTTTATTGTATAACTGCAATCCATGCCTTTTAAATAATACAAATGTCCTGTTTATTCCTTTAGGGGCTTTTTCTATCAATTTGGGGAAATTCGCACCACCACCATAGTTCAAAGACAGCAGTGTGCTTTTATTCAGTTTGCAACACGAGATGCAGCTGAAATGGCAGCAGAAAAGTCTTTTAACAAACTCATCATTAATGGACGAAGGCTAACTGTCAAATGGGGAAGGTGTGTAGATTACCATATTAATTAAAGCACACCAACGTCTTTCCTCCCTTGCTTTTCAGTACCTCATGTATTTTTTATTTTTCATGTGCAGGTCTCAGGGTGCAAGAGGAAAAGACGGTGAAGGCATCAGTGAGATGGGCTCAAGGCTTGAACCTGTACCTGGTTTGCCTGGAGGTATTTTATTATCATCTTGCATGCAATATTTCCAGTTGAAACACAATTGAAACAGTTTCTTTATAGCTTTGCCCCCTCCACCACCACTGGATGAAGAGACGTCAGCAAACTACTTTAACCTAGACCCCAACAGCTCTCCTGCTGTTATGAACATAACAATGCCCCCACCTCCAGGCATGAACCCACCTCCACCAGGTAAATTTACAAAGTGAAAAGATTTTACGTGTAGAAACATTTATACAGAGTTTTGTTCAAAACATTTTTTGTTGAATTTTCAGGTTTTGGACCACCAATGTTCCATGCTATGGGTCCAATGGCTCCACCTATGCCCCCTCCTATCGGTATGAGACCTCCTGGTCAAATCCACTATCCATCCCAGGACCCTCAGCGCATGGGTGCCCACTCCGCTCACGGCTCACGTCATGAACAGTGAAATCAGTTTAATGTGCCTGGCCTGATTACACAGATGGGTTTAGCAAACATCTGCTACAAACACACAGCCTGAACTGTTATAGCACCTGCGGTGCCCAGTGTCCTGTGGTTGGTGGAAAATTGAGCCAAAACAAATGCACCAACAGCCTTTAAACAGGCTTTGACGTGGTAAGATGTTACTAGAGATGAGCTGGCCAGAGTTGTTGGGCCAATTATTGCTCTAACATCAGAAACTTATGTACAAAGACAGTGTAACATTTGTTACACTGAGAGTATCAGGCAGACTATTTTATCTTCATTTTCATTGTCTAAATTTTTTATTTGAAACAATTGTAAATGTCCACTATGGGTTTAGTTTCATAGATGTTGTTTGAATTTGTCATTAAACCTACCCAAGTTTGTCATCTAATGTGTTTGTAAGTAATTTAATTTGTTTATATATGCTTTGTTGGCCTTTCAGACAGTCCCTGTGGGTTGCACCACTGAGAAGTAGACAGTTTCATTGCTCTGCCAGTGGAAAAGGGAGAGAGAAGAGGAGGAAAGGCAGTCGGTCAGTGCCTCAGTCTTAAGCTTATTAGCACTTTTCATAGTTCATTAGATTCAGGGCTGTAATTGATGCCCCATCCCCTGGGTGCTCTGTTAAAGTTGGGCCTTTGGCACATGCGCTCTAAAGCAGCTCCTGGCAGCATCTGTGATTCCACAGCCTCAAAGCTGATCACTGGGACCACCCTCCTGCTCGCCATCATGCCCCCGAACGGCACAGCAGCCCTGGAAGGAAATGCCACATCACTGAATAGAAGGGCAGTGTTGTTCAGGTTATATGCTGCATTCTAAAATGTAGAAATATGTGCGCAAATATCTCTAAGCTACATACAGTGGCCAGTCTGCCTGCTTCATGTGTAAAGTTGCCCAGATTTAATCAGGGCCGCATAATTCTAACTATGAAATTGTGTAAACAGATCCCCCCCCCTCAGGGTTTATTGTCGGCTGATTGACAGCACTAATTGAGAAAAGACTTTCAAGTTGTGAGCCAGAGCGTTTTATACAGGCTATTCCTCCATCTGCCCAAGATTAACCTTTATTCTGCCTACGGCCAATTTCTTGATCCTTAGAACACAAAAAAAGAAATGTTTTATCTCTATAGCCTCAGCATTTAAAAACCCACTGCACCTCAAGGTTTCATCTTTCAAGTGGCTTGGTTAAAATAGCCATCATAGTCACATTCTGAGGAGGTGCGAGCCAGAGACTAGATTAATTTTCAGACTGTGGAAACATGGAGTCGAGCCCAGCATGAGATGATTGTGATGAATAACCCTTCAGCATATACTGTGTACACTATTTGTAGTTAAGAAGCTATGTGTATACATGTTTACTTTGCATTGAAAGTTAATTTTGTTTTCATACCTGTTGAAGCTCCTGTAGTTGGCAGGTTGTTGCCCCTGTGGGTGTTCGGGCAGTTGGATGTTGAGGGTGTTTAGGAGCTCCTCGTTGCTGCCCAGAGCCCCCCTCCAAGGGGAACAGTAAGATTTGGGGATCACTGTTGTGTTGAACTTTTCATGAGGAATTTCCTTTAGAGGCGCAGTGTAACCTAGTGGGAAGTCACACCACATACCATTTAGAAAAGAAAATCTGAATTGAATTTATTTGTATAGAGAATAAGCCCCTTGTCTCGCCATCTTATTTTGAAGGGGGTCTTCAAATGTATAGTGTTGGTGTTGTCAAAAATAATGAAGATCAGATACTAATCCATAATAAAAGTCATATTGAAACTTTGATACTCATTTAAGTAGTGATACTATGAAAGAATCATTTACAGGATAAAATCAGACCTTTCCTTAACTTTCAGAATCGTCTTGACCCTTAGCAAAACTAGATCAAATGGTAACATAAAAGTGCTATTGTTTTGTGTGCAAATGTAGTCTGCTCTCTAAAAAATGTGTTTTAATATTTATTTTTACTATTGGCACCATTGTGTTCCTTAGTATTGAAATTCAGTTTGATAATTTACGTTTTTGGCATTAAATCAAGCCATAAGAGGACTCAAGCCAGTTCCCTATATGTGAGGATCCCATCCACTGGTAAATGAACCGGTGGGATGTCCAGCACAAATAAACATGCACATTGAAGACATATTAAGGGAATGTGATAATGAAGAGGCATATATTCTTGCCAAAGCTTGCAGTTATGTCAAGACAGACTGCACTAATCATTCTCACCATGAATCTTGAATATTAAAATTACTGCCTGTCAGATTTTTTTCAGAAATAATTGCTGTGTATGCGTTGTGACTGGATCTGACGTAGATTAAAATTTGCTGTATAAAAACAAGCACACAAAAAGGTATATAGTGTGGAGCTATCATGGCTATATCAGTGTAATGAATTTGCCCCAGCCTCCTGCCATTGTAGTGACATTGCATTAGTCCTAATCTGTGTCATAGGTCCTTTTTCACAGTGGTGCACATTTACCTGGAGCAAGGACAGCTGGACTGCCCTTCTTTGCTACAGTCTTCTGGAGGTTCATAACCAGGCTATGTTTTCCTGGGATCAGGAGAGTCTGGTTTTCTTTTCCTACTTGTGGCTCCGGTGTCAAGTGTTCTGGGGGTATAGCTTCTGTTGGGACCTGAAAAGAATGTTTGAGACTGTTTCCAAATGCTGTATGCTACAATATTTTTCTTCTAAAGGTACACTATGTAACTTTTCTGTTTGCCACCGCCTCCCGCTTTTCTCCATGGAAATGTTATGGCACCTGCCATACCTTGGAACATTTCAGGCAAAGCAACAACATCTCCATGGATAGAAGCAGGTGGCAGACCCTCCCCCAGAAATGTTACATGGTAGACTTTTAAGATTCACCATTTGCTTTGTATTTTTAAAACATGTAAATACAAATAAGTTATGCACTAGTAAGCAATACACAGTCCTTCAATTATATATTCACAACACTTGGCTAATTATCACCATTTATAATAAGAAGAATCAGAAGAGTAGTTTCATACACTGATGATGTTCTGGGGACCCTTAGCGTTGTTTTCTAGAGTGAACTTCTCCACTCGTTTCTGTCTCTCCTGGAACATACGGGAGCCACGGTTACGATTTGGAACATTCAGCTCCTCCATCATCACATCTTTAGGGACGCTGATCTTCTTACCCAAGTTCAGATGCTCTGCAATAACAAAGAGACAGAGATGGGTAGAGCAGCCAAAAATAGTAGCCTACTAAAGTAGGATACTCAAGAGTAGGGTTACGAACATCTGATTCATAAGATATATAGATGTCTACTATATTAAGTCAGTTTTTGTAATCCATTACTTGTTCAGCTGTTTTTACATTTCAAACACACATTTGCTTTAAACCCAGAAAATTGTGCGTGGACTATTAAGGACTAGTGGCAGATCAACGCGTCTTCTCTGATCCTGCTTCTGTCATCTTTGAACAGCTGGAGGCCTTTTTAAAAAGCTAGTCCCTGTGCAGCATCACTAAGTTAAAATCCTAACAGATTTAGTTCAGGGTCTCCTCTCGTATTAGATCACCTCACTGTGAGTCTCTGAAATAGCCTTGAGATGATGTCAAGGCCCGTGTAATGTTTGTTGTAGTCTGAGGTTGCATGGGTAACTGGGCACATAAAAATAGGATCTGTGTGGATGAAAGATGGTGGCACTGGCTCTTGCATGATAAGTGTTGGGAGGTCTTAGCCTGTGTCACCCCGAGGAGCTGTCTTTGATCACACAGTGTAAAATATGCCACGTACAGTCTCATATCACTGAGTTTTGGAGGTTTCAAAGTGAATCTGGCTGACAGCATGGAGGAAACAAACGCTCCCCTCCGGAAAAAAAAAAAAAAAAGTTTGGAGGATCTTGACAACAGGCTGCCTCTCCGGAGATCTGGATGTGTCATGTTTCCCGCGGCAATGGGCATAGTACTTTGATGTTTGCCAATGTTTGCCCTGACATGTAACACTGTAAAACCAGCTGGGTGGGCACAGACTTGAAGTGCCCTTGCTTTAATAAGTGAATGTTATCTCATTAAAGTGGAACTAAACACTAAATGCACTTTTATGCTACTAAACTGTGTAAATTGTGTTTTAATACCATTATTTATTGTTTCTACTCAATTTTTGGGTAGCTAAATTTGCTTCTTTCAAAAATGCCTAAAGCTATTTTTGTATTGGCTTTTGTTGGCTCTGCAATTTCCAGTAGATGGTGACATTACAACAGACTCCCCTGATTAAAGCTAGGTTTCTGATTACAAATACCTACGGGGGCGGAGTTTGACGTGCGGATACCTGTTAGACCAATCCCCCCAGACCCTGCCCCTTTTCCCACCTCACTCACTTCTTTGGTCCTCCAGGTTTAGCAGCTCTATTTAAAAGTTTAAATAGAGCTCGAGTTTATGCATTTATTCCCACTTCAAATGTTTATATCAATATAAAGTGTTAATCTGTACCTCCTCTGGCCTCTTTGCACAGTGCTTGAGCTTGCATCATCCTGAGTCTGGTGCTGTTATCCAGACCGGGCTGCATCATCATCATCATCTTTATCTGTCACACAATGTAATCAATATTTAGTTAGCCTGTAGTATTTGTATTGATTTGTATTTTACATTACTCAATCAATTTCCATTATATTACTGTAGCGCATTTGCCTTTAAGCTTAACAATGCCGAAGTGATTTGTGAGCCACATTTTAAATTAGGTAAACAAATGCAAGCTTTATATCACATAAAATACTTCATAAGGATAGGCCTAAATCGTAATTATACTTAATCTATCAGTATAACTTTATGTATCCCTGAGGGGCAATGTAAGCACACTGCAAGGTTAGAACTCACATAAAGGTTCATTGCATCTTAACAGGAGAATAACGCTTTGCTTATGAGAATATACATGGCACAGTATAAAGATAAGACTGCTAACTTGTTGTGTTTTAATTATTATTATCATGATCATTAATCTGTGAGTTGCTTAATATTATTTGTTTAAAAGTTCAAAACGTTTGTAATCATTGCGCTGTCCAGAAAAGCAGAATTAAGGGCAATTCAGTATACATTTAGCAGCTTTTTATAATTAACAGTGGTTTTATTTATTTGATGTTTTACAATCATAATTTCAAAAGCTTCAAAACTTTATAGTAATTACACCTTAATTAGCCTTAATAAAGCCTGAACAAATTAACTTTATTTAGAATGATTCATGTTTAATAGCTATTTAAGGGCTATGGGTTAGGTTTAGAGCTTAATAATGTAGTTAGTAAGCCTGAATCATTCTTAATAAACTATTTCTTCATAATGAATTAAGTCTTTGTTCATGTTTTATTAAGGTTTATTAAGGTTTAAAGGTTTTTTTTGTTATAAAGGTCTCCCAAAAAGCATATATAGCCAAGCATGTCAGGCTGGGATTCAACAGTAATTCAATACTTGTTAATAATATAACAATTAATAATATCTTAACAATGTGCATACCTATGTATTTAAAAGAAAAAAGACAATCTAAATATATATTACGTTAATTTTATGCTCAAACCTACCTGTTTATGTGGTTTATGGCGGTCACCTCAGATGGCTGTGTGCTGTCTCCTGCTCCCTGATGCTTCTGTCCCTCTGTATGACAAGCTCTGTATAAAACTCACCCATCATACCTCGGGTGCTGAGCTCACCGTGCTCATTTTAGCAGTGCAGTTTCAACATGACGATGCCTGGGTGGGGTACAACATGAGGGGGCGATTAGGGTAGAGGGGCACGTCCTAAGATTTACACTCAGTGCTTTAGCCTCTTCCATAATAAAAACCTGATCCGTTGTGTGTGCCATAACAGAGTTGACAGGAAGCACCCAAACACACATGCATTTTCTTCCCAGTGTAAAACATGTTGTAACTGCTATTTTCTACTTTCCTAATGACTTTGGAGCACCCACCTGTGTAGCCCCCTGTGCACAGGCCTCAGAGGAGCTGTAAAATTGATGAGGTTACAGCGATCAGAGGTTGAGATTTTTCTTCCCGTTCGGGGTCAAAGGTTTAAATGTGAGGCAGTTCACTCCTCTCTTTTTAATGGCGTTAGACCTTTGATGTCCTTTTCTTTCACACTGCTCTGAGTTATGGGAGCTGTGCACATATCCCTCAGTGGGCCGTCTGTCCAAGCATAATAAATTATAATCCCTGACCTTTGCTCTATTTTATACTTGTTTTATTTGTATTCCACTAGGCTTCCCTGTAGTTATTTAGACATTTTATGAGAATGATTTACAGTATGTTGGCTACTGTATCTATTTTCACTTTTTCATATTTTTTAATCATTAATTTTGTGCTTGAACATTTTTTATAACAGCCTATCACCATGTTTGATTCAAGTATAACGTGAAGCTTTTTAACACTGATGTACAGCTACTACTGACTCATAACCATGTCCACAATTAGTACATAAGAAGTGGGACTAAACCAGGACTGGTTTGGAACTTGTTCAAAACAAAACCTACATTAGCAACTAAATCTGTAGTGTAATATTGAAAAGTATAAATTAAGCCATTCTCAAAGTTAAATTGACTCTTATGAGCTTTAAGCCATGTCAGAATGTTGTTACCTCATCAAAAATTTTCCCAAAGTTGTGTTTTGTTTCATTCACACATGTTTGAGAAATCCTTTATGGCTGGTTTGTCTACACCCTCAAATCTCAAAATACTCCGTTCCACCTTGTGATGCAGTAGTTTTCAAGTTAACTGCTACCTTTTACTGTTTGTTCAGTAGAGATTAGCAGTTCCTGCTCTGAAATCATCCAAATGGTTCTAATGAATGGTAGTAGTATGTAGTTTAAAAAGCACAGTGGAGCACTTCCTATATCCTTCTGGAACAGAGCCTAAATATGTAGAGTTTGTGTGTTAAACATGAAACAATACACAACTACAGGTATGTTTTAATGAGGAAACAATGTAGTGTAAGAACAACATAGCTCCAATTAGCAGGATAAATGTTTTCCTCACACATTTACATATATTACATCTCATGGTTTCTCCACTTCTGCAACCCCTCTCCCTTGCAGTATTGGAGGAGTAAGTGTAGGTGTGTGTTAATATACTGTATGCTTCAATTACCTCTGTTATCTGTTTGAGATTTACTATTGAAATATGTTTTTATAGAATTCCACAGTATCATTCTCTCTCATTCATTTCGCATTAGCTCTCATGTCCATTACCCACCATGTTTACTTTTGTCTTGTCCGTGTTGCGGCGTTGTCTGGTGTCAGAATCCACTCCTCCACTGGGACCTCAGAGGCACCTTTCCTCCACAAATTGAATCATTGGGCCCAGCAGGAGAGTCGGGGGGAAAAAACATTTTCTTTATCCCAGTTGAGATTGGATATCGATTTTGTACCTGGCCGGCTGCACTGTGCCTCCTATCCTCCGGCCTAGTGGGAGCCCCCCAGCTCCGGACAGACAATACAGAATAAACCCAAGTCACAGAAATTTATATCTGCGGTGCAAGGAGAAAAGTTTCAGTTCAATTCCCCATAGCCCGCCTTAGCCTTTCCATCGTTTTTTATAAATAACAGAAACACACTATCCAGAGTTTACCACAAAGATCTACTAAGGCTGTCATGATTCTTATTTGAATAATTAACATTTTAATATAATGTCACTGTAGCTAGTTTTGACATATTTTCATGATGGCACAAGAAGACAAAAGGCTATTTAGATTGATGTGAATTTTTTGGGGAAGAAATTTGGAGCAACTCTGGTACGTGTATCACAGATGGTACGCAAACTGCTTTTGGTGATAATCACATCTCTCTCCAGTTCCAGTGTATTTCATTTACAATTTAGAGATAAATGTACATATTTTTATTATTATTTATTTAACCTTTATTTAACCATGAAAAATCCCATTGGTATTAAAAAACTTTTTTTTTCAAGGGAGTCCTTGTTAAGGGGAAATTACATAGTACAACATACAACAACATACAAACAAACACATAACCAGCAATAAAATCACATGACTCACATATTAGGGAAAACAAGTGCACATTAAATATATATTTTTTATACTCCTTGCCTATTTTATTACTAGTCCTAGTTTAGACCTGGTATAAACTATAATGTGTACCAGGTAAACTGTAATGTCTAGGTAAACTATGATTAAACTATAATTAAAGTATAATATAATAATCTAACTATAATCTAATCTAAAACCGTTATATTTTATGCAGTCTGTTTTCACATGGTATTTTCTAGTTGCTGGTGTCATCTGTATTTGAGAAGTTGCTTGAGCACTTGAATGTGTTCATGTCACAGCCACCAGGCACTGGCAGCTGTCACCAGAACAATACAGGCCTCTCCAGTCTCAAGGGCTTGTGTAATTAAAGCACCTTTAAAACTATTTGTTCCATTGGAGCTCACTGGAAACACAATTTGACCAGCCAAAGTGAGCAAACTCCACAGGTAGTGTTAAGGCCAAAGGGAAAGTCAATTCGCAGTTTGTGTCTAGTTATAGTTTTTTAGTCTGAGAACATTAAAATTCAGCTGGCGCTGTAGGAAAGAGTCATGATTGTGAACTTTTTTATTCGCTTGCAGGTGCCTCTGGGAAGAAGTCAATCAGTGGAGCTGTTTTGGCAGAGTTTGAGAGGAGATGTATGGGCTGCTGTGTGAGAGCCTCCATGACTTTATCAAGGAGTCCTATGGAGACGATGTGTGGAAGCTGGTCCGGGAGAGGGCGGATGTCAGGCTGCACTCCTTTGTCACTCATCAGGTACTATAGATACCATAGATTTATGTGTATTATGTGTACAGTGTGTAATGGATGGGACATTAAACTGCAATATTCTTGTACGATAAAAAGGGTAGACAGTAATTGTTTGTAGTACCTTTAATATAATTGTGATAATTGGTAATAAAGATAATTGTCATGATCTTAATAGATTGTCAAAAGAAGCTACTTATCTATGATGTTCTCTTCTACAATAATACAGCATTATAAAGTATATTTAAACACTGAATCTTCAAAAATTTAAAAATGATAATAATTGGCCACAACATTATCAAGACAATATCATTCCATACCTACACTGTATGTGTACAAATAATAATAGTTCTCTCTAAATAAGATGTGTATTAACTTAATTGAAAATAGAAATACATCAAGAATATTATTATAGGCACACATGATGTATTTCATTAGTTCAACTCAATATTCAATTCAATATTTGTACATTTAAAGAAAAAAAAATATATATAATATATTCCCATAAATGTAGATCATATGAAATGAATTTGAAATGAAGTACTAATCCAGCATCAGAGTAGATCAAATGTATCCATACCTATACATATATATCTAAAATACTTCTGGAATACATTTCATTGGAGTAAAATGTGTAAGATGTGATATACAAAATTAACTTTTGGAAGTCATGAGGCACGTCACAAGTTGGATTTGTTTTTTTCTAATGTAATTTAGTTTCTTTTTTATATATATCCTGCCAGCTTGTTTGTGACTCAGTGCTTGGATGTGCAGGTGTACAGTGAGAGTGTGATTCCGCGCATCGCAAAGGCAGCCAGCGGAGTGACAGGAACACCTTACAATGAGCTCATGAACTCCTGGGGTGTCTACTTCCTCGGCTTTGTGGGGAAGTATGGATATGACAGGATTTTGAAGGTGAATATTTAGATACAAAAAAGTTTTCTTGACTTCAGGCTAAATAATAATGATAATACTCTAACATGTGTCAAAAGGTGTTGGGTCGTCATGTGCGTGACTTTGTGAATGGCCTGGACAACCTTCACGAGTACCTGCGCTTCAGCTACCCAAAGGTCCAGCCCCCAACCTTCTTCTGTCAGGAGGAGTCTGCTACTGGAGTCACTCTGCACTACAGGTCAGGAGGCAAGGGCAAATGAGCACTATGGAACTTTTCTGTTGGAGAGGAGCCATCACTAGCCATCAACTTGTCTCCCTGGAGAAGTTATTGCTTCACCTAGAATATTTTACACTGTTGCATTAAACTTCTGTCGTACTCAATTACAAGCATTTTTTGCTAAAAATTTTAGAATAAAATGTAAAAATAAACTTTCTTACATTGAGGGGGCTCGCCTATCCACAGAGCTGCCACCTCTCCTGGTGGCACCACCTGCTTGTATCCATAGAGATAGACAACTTTCATTCAATACTGTGGAACAATGAGTCCATGAGATAAACAATTTTAATGTGATGCTGTGGAACATTCCAGGCAAAGTAAAAAAATCATCATCATCAAAAAAAATAAAAAATCATCATGGATAAAAGCATGTGGTGGACTCTCTCCTAGAAAAGTTAGATAGTTCACATTTAAATTTCATATAATATTTCAGATAAAAGTGTGATGTGTTTGTAGGAGCAAACGTAAGGGCTACCTGCACTACGCCATGGGGCAGCTGAGGCAGATGGGGAAACAGTTCTACGACACAGATATTCACGTGGAGGTGCTATCTGAGCAGATGGTCGGAGATTATTCTCATGTCACTATGAGGTAACCACAAAACAGTCAGTTATACAACATAAGCAGGTTAAATCCAATCCACACATTTTCTATATTTTGATGGGACTAGGTTGAACTTTGACAACTCTGCATACCGCTACATCATGAAGGAGGATGAAGAGGAGCAGGAGATTTTGCCAATCACGTCAGATTTTTTCTTTGAGGTCTTCCCTTTTAATATAGTCTTTAGACAGGTAGGTATAAGGCCGCCTTATTAAACTCACTCAGTATATGCAATGTCTGACAATATACTGCATCTTTCAGGACATGGTGGTGCACAATGTTGGCTCTGGACTGGCCACTGTCTTCCCTGATTTGGATGGGAAAAAGATCAATGATGCATTTTTGCTGGCTCGACCCCTAGTGGAGTTTACATGGAACATGGTAGGTCAATTATCTCTTTGCAGTACTTTCTTGATAATCAAACAGTATTTATGGAAAGGTGGTCTATCTGGTCAAAAGATAGAGGTGAGACATAACCTAGTTTATGTCTGATGTAACAAAGCTACTGACCGAGTTTTCTGTGCCGTATGTGTCACGTTTGATATAGTAATTGTACAGACATTATGCACTGTCTACTTACTTACTGCATTCTTTACTATCTATACAGATTATTTCCCATCCCAACAACTTGTTTGAAATCATGTCCAAGGAGCCGGTGAAGAGGGAGAGGAACCTGCACAACCGTGTCCAGAGTAAGAGGGGCAGCCATGTAAACCCTCGCATCGGTGTGTGTCTGGTGTGAAAGGGCAGTCAGATCAATTCATTTTATCAGTCAGACACACTCGATTGCTGTTTTAATTAAATGGGGGAAAGAGATGAGCTAAATGAAAGTGTGTCCTTGTGTGATAGTGGGAGAAACAACATTAGACTGTGATATGCTGTGCACAAATGGACTTGTTTGATGTCTTGATTCACTCTAAGGCTTTGAATGCAGCAGAGTGAATCCTCATCAAACTTGTCTCTGTTGGAGATGTAGTTGTGACTGTGTGGGCTCCTCTCCACAGATTCAGACTATGAAAATGTAAACCGCTCGGCCGATGTTGACGTGGAGCTCATGGCTTTCCAATCCATCATTGGAGATGATTACAAAGGTTGTAACATTTTGACCATCACGTTTTGATATTACACACAGAAATAAAGCACTCTTAAAAATAAAATTAGTTATGATTAAAAATCATATATACATTTTTGACATACATTTTATGTTTAGGTAGAAAAATTGATTTTGCTAGGAAGTAACTGAATACAGTTTTCTGCAACTAGATACTAAGTATTCTTCCCAACACTGAAGATACAATATACCAAAACATACATTGTAATTCCAACATATTTACCCACTTTGGGACAAGAAGACATTTAGTTTTAAATTTTATTTATTTTACAAAGTGATATAATTCATTAAAAATGTACTACACTTTAAAAGGCGAATTTTGTAACAGTGCCCAAGCACTTTAGTGAGTGGTGCTGTGTGCATTTGCCCCTGTACCTCTTTCAGACGGTAACAGCGCTAATGCGATGGAGAGCTGGGGTGATGGCAGCCGCTGCCTCAAACTCAAAGGACAGATGAGATACATGCCTGAATGGGAGTCCATCATCTTTCTGGGAACGCCTGTGTAAGAACCTCCTCTACGCACTCAGATTTACATACAAAATATAGCTATTATTTAAATGCACCGGCTAAACTAATACAGCCAACAAAAGGGAAGAGCTAAACTGAATTACATGGCTGAAAATAAAAGCCTGGGCAGTGAATCAAATCAGTGTCCCATTCTAAGAGCACTTTACCATGCATGAAATGAGCTGCTAATTAGCTTTTAATCAGACAGTGCAGCTCTTGTGCGGCTAATGGGACCCTATTTCCATGTGAGTGTTTTCAGCAGAGTACATTACCAAAACATCTCCCGCCTACTGCTAAAACATTTTCTGAGTAAATCCCCTTAAGACTGTATTGACAAAACAACGGAAATGTAAAATGCCACATCACAGTGCTCACAATATTACAGCATAAATGTGATAACTTGAAGATCAAACAGTATTTAATTATTCATGAATCTTTTGTGGATTTTACTAACCTTTCTTTCCCAAGCATCTGCATTTTTGAACTATGTTTTAAAGCCATTCTAGATGAAAATTAAATTGAATTTAAAAGTGTAACTTTTCAGGGTGGGTGTCAGCCACCTACTTGTCTCTATAGAGTAATTGTTTTTCCTGGAATGTTCCTCGATATAGTGCTAAACTTACTTACATTGAGCGTTGTCGCATTACCACCATCTAATCTATATCTTCACCTGGCTGGTAGCTGAAAAATTACATAGTGCACCATACAATATTTTAATTACTACACATTTTTGTATTTGATCTGAGCAATATTTGTTTTTATATATACAATATTTGTTTGTTATTTGCATTTATTAACACATTTGACTCTTTTCTCTATTTTCTCCTCTGACTTGTGTCCCCAGTATGGAGAGTCTGAGTGCTATGTTCAAAACAGGTCTATACATCAATGATCTTAGTATGCACGACTCCAGCAGAGACCTGGTGCTGGCTGGAACTCAACAGTCTGAGGAGCTGAAGAGAGCACTCATACAGGTGCACTCAACACGTCATGCTTTTCAGCCTCTGAAGCATGTCTCAGACATTGCTTTAGACTTTAGAACAAACTTTCTTTAAAAATTATTTGGACACAGTAGCTCACACATCAGTATACAGTATTATATTAACAAGGAGCTAAAATATAAATGTAATAATAAATTAAAAAATAAGTGGCAAAAATAACAGGAGACTGGTGTGAAAGATGGCACAATTATATAAATGTGTAAGTTGAAAGAGAGATAGCTGAGAGATATATGTATAACTATGCCAGTTATACATATATCTCTCAGCTACAAGAGGTCATAAGGAATACATTGCAAAGGTGAAATAGTGACTGACATCTATTACATTATTGTTGTATGGAGTATGGTATGAATGTATCTTTCTCGTTTTTATGGATTTTCAAATTACATCACATTTTAAGGGCCTATACTATTAATTGAGATAGCCTGAAATCTTGTTGTTGCTGTAGTGACAGGTACGATATTTCTTTATGTAACAGCAGTTGCCTTCATTAAATAATTGATGTAACCATCAGTTAAAATTATAAAATGAGACAAGTATTGGTCAAGAAAAGACAAGTAGATTGAAAAATATTCACAGTATTGACAATTGTGTAGTTCAAATCCAAATCCACTTTAGTTATATACCACATTTCTGTAAACGAAACAGTTTCCAAAGTGCTGCACATGTAAAAATAACATTAAAAACAAAAAAGGCAAACAACAAAGGGTATAAAGGCCCAATTTAACCTTGCCAGACTGAAAATACTAAAACCGTTAAAGTCAAATAAAAGCAAACCTATACAAACATGAACTGCCTTTTGCCTGGAAAATTGATTTTAAATAGATTCTCTCTTACAACCATGACTGAACAAAAAGCCCAACAGGAAAAGATACATAGGCACAACTGAGAAAACAATCAAGACAGAACACATATTAATATTCAACTAATTCAGAACATTGAACAGGGGCGATGAGGAGAGGAAACAAGTGTCTTCATGTATGTTAAATATTTTTTTCTCTCTCTTTGTATTACAGGAGCAGAAGAAGTCCAGTAAGTTGGAGGAGAGCATGAAGATGTTGGACTATGAGATGAAGAAGACCGATGATCTTTTGTACCGGATGATTCCTAAACCAGTGGCTAAGAGGCTGCGCAAAGGAGAGCCTGCTGTCAACACATGTGAGGTGTGGAAGATACAAAGAAAGCACACTATTCATACAGTACATAATTACTTAAAGGTGCACTTTGTAACTTTTCTGGTGGTTTCCATGGAGATATTATTCCTTTGCCTGGAATGTTCATTAAACATAGCTATCTCTGTGGGAACATGCAGGTGACACTGCTAGATCAACTTACAGGTCAAATTTGTGAAGCAGTGTTTCAAAGCATCTTTCTCAGCAATAATATACCTGTAATTGATTAAATGCAAAATGGTTACTTTAATGCCATAATCAGGAACATTCCAGCCAAAGCAATAACATCTCATGGTAGCGGACCCATACTAGAATGTTATTTGAAAAATACCACACTTGACCACATCCTTGTTATCTTGATGGTAAATAAGTATCAAAGATAGTGGTAAATTGTCTCAGTTTATAGAGATATCAAAGAACCACTCACCTATTCATTCAGTAAATCTAAGTGTTGGTCTTGGCCAAGGACACCACAGTAAAAGGAACCAATGCGCAGGAACAAAGTTTGTGTCCCTAATCTTGCCTTGAAATGGCTCTCAAGTGAAGTGCTCGCTGTCCTTTACTTGGAGGAAGAGGTCAAAGGTTCACTACACAGAGCACTCAAGGCAACTCAAGGCAATGCAGTATGTGCCTTTGTTTTGTAAAAAAAAAAAAAAAAAACCAAACCAACAACAAATTGGGCAGCTCTGCAAAAGTGCATCCAAAAATGAAATCACATGAAAAACACAGGTGGTAGAATGGAGCATAACAGTAACAGCTCGATCCAGTTCCAGGAGTACATTTTCCATTAATTTTTCTAAAAAATTCAAATTTTAATAGTTCAAAGACATCGTGGAAGAAATTACATGATAATTAATATAATAAATTCAAATTATATAATATCATATTAAATATAATAATTTATTAATTAATGGTTTAGAAAGTTTTAGAAACATATTTTAAATAAAATTATAGGTCTCGTAGTCATTAGTTACCATGTAGCTAATTATCCCAGAGCAAGCTTTCAATCTCTTTATACTATTCATTTATTTATTTATTTATTTCTCCAGAAAATCTATGAGAAAAATGAATGGGAAATTTAGTTTTGGAACCAGGGGCTGGGCAGTTACTGTTGAGCTCCATATGTGAAAGCCTATAACCTTTAACTTCTCAACGTCTTAGTTTGCGTTCGTACGCACCACTTGAAAATTAGACTAAAAGTTGGAACTAAACCTGGACTAAGGCAGGACTAGAACAGGACCTATATCAGAACTAAAATGGGCCCAAAGTCAAGACAAGAGGGAAGGGCGCACTCAGCATAACTACATTGTATAATACATTGCTTCCTATTCTCTTTGTCTGTGCCCTCTCTTCTGTTTAATTCAGTCATTCTTTCTCTTCAGGTGTTTCCGGATGTGACCATTCTGTTCAGTGATGTTGTTGGGTTCACTCGTATTTGCAGCCACATCACCCCCATGCAGGTGGTCTCCATGCTCAACACCATGTACACGCTGTTTGACACTCTCAGTGAGAAGCACCGGGTCTTCAAGGTTTGTCACCGTTTTAGATGACACAAAATGGTTTCTGTAGTTCTTTACTAATTTCAAAGCAAATTATTTTAATTTTAAAGGTGTTACTGGGTATTATTGTGTAACTTTTCTGGTGGAGGGTCCATCATATATTTCTCCATGGAGATGTTATTGCTTTGTCTGGAATGTTTAACAGTATGGTATTAAACTTTTGTCTTCATGGAGGCCAAACCAGACGGGTCAGATCTGTGGAGAGGCGAACCTGCTTACAGTCAGAATGCCTGTTTTTCTAGGTATTTTTGATCTATTAAACCACTTGTAATATAATAAATGTATAGAAGAGCCATTCGATGTCATACTGAGGAATATTCCAGGCAGAACAATAGTATATCTGTAGAAACAAGCAGGTGACGGACCCCTCCACCTAAAAAATTACATATTGCACCGTCAAGTTAGCAAAGCAAGGCAAGGCAAGTTTATTTGTATAGCACAAAATAATTTAAGGTGCTTTACAGAATAAGAAATGCATTAAAATTACAATACTGACAATTCAAAACATAAATAAACATCACAAAATGAACATTAAAAGTGACAAGTAAATAAAATAAAAATCTTTCAGTAAAATACACAGCTAAACAGAACAGTGACCCTGGTTTTAAACATAGTCAAAGTAGAGGCCTAAGTTAATCAATTTAGGTATATCTATTGGATAGAAAAAGGTGACCTATTTATAATTACTTAGGATCAATATTTTATTTTTGTGTGTGTATTTGAATAAAGAAACAGACATTGGGGTTATAATTACTGGTCATTTCGCAGCATTTCTGGTGGTGAAAAATGATCAATCAAATCTAATAAAATAAACAAATAAGACACAATTAAAATAAAAATGTAAAAAAAAAAAAAAGTATAACACTATAAAAATGTGTGTATCTGATGGCAAATATATTCACATGATAATAATGTAGGGCCAATTAATGTACAGGGATTAACTGTGTAATCTTGCAGGTAGAGACTATTGGAGATGCCTACATGGTTGTTGCTGGAGCTCCAGAAAAGACCAAATATCACGCCCATAACATCTGTGACATGGCTTTAGACATGGTCCGCTCCATTGACCACCTCAAAGACCCCTCTAATGGGAACAACATACAGATCAGAGTTGGTGGGTTCTGCAAAAGCACACTATTTACCAGATATTGTTTTCATATGGTCTGACACTGGCTATTGGGTTGGCAGGTATCCACTCTGGGATGGTAGTAGCGGGTGTGGTGGGTCATAAGATGCCCCGGTATGGTCTCCATGGTGACACTGTCCACACTGCATCTGCTATGGAGAGCAATGGGAAGGTATCATGAAAATAAAGCACTAATATTGTTGCATCAGTTTTGGATGTAGGCTATTGCTTGGTTTCAGATAACATCATAACATCTACAGGCCAATATACAGCTAAAATTAATATTGTTAACATGTAGATTTGTGTTGTAATACAGTGAGTTCTTGGGTCTTGTCACTAACAGGCCTGTGACAATAACATGTTTTGAAGTAATATTGTTTTAGAAACTACGGGTAATTAATGATACAATTGAAACTATTCACACTACTTACACAATAACCCTACAGCCAGGTTATCTCCCAGAACTAATAGAGTAAATAAAAACACAAACTGCAATGAATGAATAGCAGAATGAATCCCTTTGGTACTTAGTCTGAAGTTATAATGAGCCATAGATTTTTTTTTATTCAATTCTCCACAGCTCAAATCTGATACAGAATACAGAAAAATACCAAAAAGTTCCTCACTAGCATAATGAAAAAGCCCCCACGATAAATGTTGATCCTCAAATTGCATTGTTCCATCTAACATATACTGAACAATAGTAACACCTAGTAACATTTGTGAATTTACCTTTTGGATATTTCATGATAAAGTAAAACATAATCAATACTACCCCCATCTGGGAGTATGACATAATCACATTCTACAATCTAAAAACAACCAGTGTTTCTTCTTCTTTTATTTCCCAGGAAATGCATATCCAGCTGAGCAGTGCCACCTATGAGCACCTCAAAGGAAGCCACTTTATTTTTGAGAGGAGAGGAATCATTACCATCAAGGTCAGGTTTTCTCAAGTGCCCCCGAAGCTATTACACATTAATCACAACAGCTAATTGCCATTTCCTGTTGAATTCCCTGTCAGATTTCTCCGCTCTTTTTTGTATGAGACAAAAGAACACAATGCTTGAGCGGTGTCACCAGTTTTATAAGAAAAAATCACAAAAATAAGGAAAATACAGAAACAGGGTTCACTTGAGGAACTGTCAGACTTAATATTCTGATTGAGACTAGTGTTTTATCAGTATTTCAGATGATTTCCTATGCCTATATTAAGTGATGATTGCAGAAAGTGAATCCCTGAGGTTGCAGGCAGATGAGGCAGGTGCTAATCTCAACATGTGACTTATTTGTCATTCAGGGATTTTATAATTCAAACATTCCATGTGTTCTGTTGCACTGCAATATTTTTTGTACATTATTTGTCAGTGCAGTGGGGGTAAAAAATAACTTACTTAAAGCACAGTGTGATAAGAGTTTTTGAGGAATAACAATATTTAAAAGAAATAAATTCTGGCATCAGATTAATGATGTATTGGATGTATATTGTGCCTCTGAAGGTACTGCTCTGTTTGAAGCTACATTGTCTGAAGCTTTGTTATACTTTAATCCGAGCTTTAATTTAACACAATCTGATGAAAAAGGACTGATTTAGTTAGAACTACAACCTGAGATGATTTGTGATGTTAAAGTCCCTCTCAAATAACATTACAGTCACCAGCAAGTAAGCATTACTCAACAGTTTTTTCAGTTCAGTTACTCTCACTTTTTTTAATATCATCAAACATCAAAATGGGACCACATACACTCATACTGATCACAGGCTTCTGAAAATGTGCTGTTTAAATCTATTTTGTATTTTTTTCTTGAGTTATTAGATCTTAAAACTTATTTGGCTCCATTAATACACATATATGAAACACACCCCCAGTGTGACGTCACTGCAAAGTATCAATAGTGATAGTTGACCTAGCAAAACTTTTAACCATTTGTAAAACTTCCAGAACAACTTGTTTGTTTATTATTCAGGGAAACGTGGAGATTGAGACATACTGGCTGAAGGGGAAGAGGGACAAGGATGGTAACGCTCAGGCAGCTTGTCCACAGTTCGAGACCCAGACCATCAGTAAAGCCATCAGCAAAGCCACTATCTCCGACCCCGAGGCCACAGGGGATGAGGAGGGGCTGGTACGAATCAGACACGCCTCACCACACACCTCGATCTCCCCTTTATTACCCCCTCTGTAATGTCGGATTGAAGCGCTCCTCATTTGCTCTGCCGCAGGTGTTCCCGCTGGTGGCCGGGGAGGACGAGGATGATGTGAAGTCTATTCGCTCCCACCGCATCAAGATGGAGATTTCAGGCAATTCTCTGGAGGAGTCGATAGAGGAGAGCCACTTGGAAGAAATGTCTGTGCATAAGGTGAGAATTAGGTTTGCAGTTTGACATCATCTTATATTTTTTTCATGAAGCTGCACTTTACACTAACTTTTCAAGGTCACTACCTGCTTGATCTCCATAGTATGACATTAAACATATATATATCTCCATGGATGTGACACTTTTTTTTTAGCAATAAAACACTGTGGCAGAGTCTAGACAAAGCAATAACATTGCCATGGAGACAAGTAGGACTCCAATACTCCATACTCCAGAAAAGTTACATAGTCCACCTTTAAGTGATATGACCAGGGGTGGGCCACATGAGAAACAGACATTTTTGTGGAGAGCCGGGCCAAAATGCTTAACTCAGTTCTGCATAATATTAATTGTATTTCTTTATTACTATATTATTATACTTTATTATTATAAAAAAAACTAACAAAAACAACAGTAAAAAGCATTTTTTGTCAAGTTGGTAAGACTGGTAAGTCTTAAAAAAGCAATGAAAAAGTGAGGTTGCCTTACAAAAAATGTAATTTAAATAAAAAAATAATATAAATAAATAAAAGCAATGCAGTTTTAGTCTATGCATGAGGTAAAATGATAAAATATGTTTATTTTGTAATTCCAAATTAGTTTAAACAGGCCGGTCGGAGCCTTGCCAAAGGGCCGTATGTGACCTGAGAGCTGTACAATGCCCAGGTCTACTCTAGCCAAGTACATTTATTGTACTGTACTTACTAAGATAATAAAATATGATGTTTTTATTTTACTTAATTTGTAATTTATATGTTTATCTTTATTTTCTTATTTTATGTAGTTAAGTTAGTTTTTAGTTTATAGTTTTGATATAGTTAAATTCTAAATTTCATGCATTATTTTTTGTTTCTGTAGTTGATGCCTTGCCAACATACTATCTCTCTACCTTGTACCCTGTACTTTCTGATGCTGTGTACATGCTGCTCTTATCTCTGTGGTACAATGAGCTCTTCTCCTCAGTCCCACTTTAAGGATACGCTGCAGGACCGGCTGGAGGACCCCCACTTGGAGATGGACTCCCCCATGTCGGATGGACGAGACTCTCTGATGCACTCACGCAGCAGCTCCTGTGACTCCCGTGGCTCCAAAAGTGCAATGTGCTCTGTCTCCTGAACTAAGGCCAGAGATTGATACTGCTATTTACCCTGTTTGTACCTCTTACTCAACGCACTGACTGTTAGGAACATTACATACACTGTGCTAAAGTCCTAGGCAGGTTTATATGGCCATAACAATAATAATAATTAATAATACAGCTTTTTTGGGCACTCAAAGATGCTTTAGAAACAAATAGGAAGCAACAGGTAAAAAAAACCTGTAGAAAACAGCGGCGGAAACCATGGGGGGAATTCCAGCTTGAACAGGTGAGTTTTTAGTAGTGATTTGAAGTGCTGCAATGAGTAAAATACTGTGTTCAGTGTACACGTAAAGGTGCATTATTAACTTTTCTTTTCTGCCACCTGTTTACCTCTATGAAGATGTTATCGTTTTGCCTAGAATGTTCAATTACAGATGCTTTTATTGTTGGGAAATACATAGAATACATGCAGTCACGTTGCCTTGTACAGATCTGACTTGTAACTTGGCCTGGTGTCTACTTGTCTCCCTGGAGATAGATAAGTTTAATATTATACGCAGAAACATTCCAAACAAAGCATTAACATCTCTAAGTAGACAAACAAGTACCTCCCCACCAGAAAATGTACATAGTGTAAAAGAAAAAAACCCACAAAGATTCATTTGAAAAGGCCAAACATCTGCACTATATCTCACAATGCTAATGAAGATATATTATTAAACCTGTCTAAAACTTTTGCACAATACTGTAGCTGTGTTCAACTTCACGCCTTATTAAATCCATAGGCGACTGAAACCCTTTATAGCATAGTACCTAACAAGTTTGTACTCAAGATAGTACTAAATGCTAGATGCCTCTTGTGGCTGTTTGTGGTGTCAAATTGCACAACAATAACATCTCTGTTCATATGTTTGGATAAGCAACAAGCTGAAGGTGAATATTTGTTTTTCAGATTAGACCCTGACATTTATCACTACTTAGAAAAGCAATGGAAATGTCAGTAGCACAAATGCACATTGTAAACGCCACTGTATCAGGAGTTATTATTGTACTTGGTTTCGGTGGACACAGTGTATTTCCTTTATACTTCATTCTGCTGCCACTGTGCACAAACATAATCCTGTATTCAAATAGCAACACGTTCTCCCATCGTTGTTTCATATCAGCCTTGTCAAATCACAATGTAAACAAGTGCCAGCGCCGTGAAAATAAAGTGTGATGATGGCTGAAAGGTGTTTGGATCTTTGTGTTACTGTCACTCAAATGAGCGCTCTTTTACTGCCATTAAACTGACACTGAATACACAGACTGTAATTTATAATAAAGACTTTATCAGATACATTCAACTGGCGTGAAATGTGTTGTACTACAAAATGTGCACAGGTCTTAGGAGGACTAAGACCTAAGAATGAGACTCCATATCATATATGTATGTATATATATATATATATATGTGTGTGTATGTATATGTATATATATATATATATATATAAATACATGAATACAAATATAAGTAGAAAGCACATAAAACCAACATAGATAATAGCCTTTCCTGGACACCTGAACTTCTTTCTTTGCAAAACTTCATATGGTACAATTGTTTGTTCTAATTATGTTTTTGGTCTTATTCTGAGACTAAACCCAGAACTAAACCTGAACTTCATGAGGGCTAAAGTAGGACAAGAACATGATCAAACAAAGTCTACATCATAAACGAATCTCCCTCAAACCAGTACCAAACAATTACAAGTGTGAACTCACCCTAAAAAGATACTGACACAAATGTATGGTTTTGGATAATCTCTAATCTCCTGTTTTCTTGGAGAAGAAATAAATTGATAATTAAATTTAAAGAAAAAAAAAGGTAAAACAGTATTTACAGTGTTGTGCAATTCACTCCACAGGAACAGATGCCTAATCCACATTCGAGTTGCCATGGCACAACTTGTCCATAGATTTTCTATCGTTTTGTTGGCACCTAGTAGCTTTGTGTGATCGCATACATCTCTATCTTCTATGGATTGTCTCCAGTTAAAATGGTGCTACTGCAAATAGAAATCAATGAAACTCTCTTGGGACTTACAGCTCGTCTATTTGGCACAAGGACCATACATGCCACTGCATACACAAAGAAGGTTACAGACAGATACAAAAATAATGTATTGACACTCAAGATGCTCTGCAGATAATGTTTTCAGTGTAATGTAATTAAAAAATATAAACCCACAGTATGTAACATTTGGGCAATTAACTATGCAAAGATAAAAGCTTGCTTTTCCACAAACTTGACTCTTATTTGGCCTGGAGGAGGACCTCTCCAAATTGTGATATGCACCTCAAGAAAGATACATGCTGTACCTAACAAAAACAGCATAAAACTAAAATACCAAATCAAAATAATGAACAAAAACTGTGAGTGTTCAACAACAAAGCCTTAAACACCCCAAACTCCAAACATTAGACATAAAAACATACAAAACAAGATCATGTCACAGCCCATCCCCACCACTCAATCTCTTCAATATCTCCTCACACACCACATTGACCCTCCTCTCCTTACACAGTTTGAGTAGCAGCATACCAGATTCCTTTCAGATAATGTTGGCTACTGAGTGACATTCAGAACTACATTTGTAAGTGGCATCCTCTCTATCAAGGCTGCAGTCATTGGTGATTTGCAAGTCCCTGGGTGGAGTCCTGATGGAGCAGTGGAAACAGAAGGTGTAGACAAAAGCCAATACTAACAGCAGGCACACCACACAAAATATAACAATGATAATGATAGTGTGGGCTTGCAGGGCTGTCTCCTCTTGTGGTAGTAAAGGGGTTGTGGGTTCCAAAGGTGCAGAGCTTGCATTCAAATGCATTCCTGACCATAAGGGCAGATAGGGCATCTTGGTGGGTAGCTCTGACATAATGATGATGCAGGCCTATGAAAACAAATAAGAAACTTAAATCAGGGATACAGTAAAAATAAAATAATAATGAGCAAAACTAAATAATGCCATCATCTTATATTATCTCTCAAAGTGGACTACTGCAAATGAACAGTAATGTAGTTCTATTGTCCTACCTGTTTCCTTGGTTGTAGTCTTTGTTCAGGCAGTGCGGTATATGTGTGTAGGACTCTGAAGCAGGCTTTTCTTTTGATGAGCAGTCCAACAATGGTAGAAATGAGAACTGGAGGGCCACAGGGGAGAGGGAGGGCTGGATTACAGCGAAGTACAGGAGAGAGATGGCTACAGTGGACCCACCAAGAATAATGCAGAGAGGTTGCCATGGAAATGTGTGATGAGGGTCCTCCATCAAGACGTGACATTTTAATGTGTAGTTATATAGAGACAATGCAAAGATAACAATTGGCTGTGGAATTGTAAGGGCTGAATCAGATTTAAGAGTGCTTTACTAACTTAGGCCTTTTTATAGTAATAGTTAAAAAATATATAACATAAAATAGAAAGAATTGTCAAGAGCATGTGTACATTGAAATAATAAGGTGAGATAGGCTATTGATTGTACACTTTGACAATACAGTATTGACTGGAGGTACTGAAAAGGTCAACCGAGACCACTGGCACCACACATACTGTAGGATATGAGCTGTTTAAGAACCTTATTAGGCTCTATACTGCCACCTGTTGGTCTCACTGTCTGCACTGATGAAGATATTCAAATATGCAGGCTATTTTTCCTCCTTCTGGCCCTCCTCTTGATCTGTGCCGTCTGTAGGCTTTTCAAAGAGCCATTGTGATCTTTTTATACAACTTGTAATTGGCCCTGTCGTCCTGCTGGGTTTTCTCAACAGGAACCCAAGCCCAATCCAAATTTGCGTTACCATGGAGATGAGTGAAAAATTTCAGTGATATTTTCCCAATAATTATTTTGTCAGCACAGATCTGGGTGTGTAGACAAAGGGAATTTTGATTCTGTGGAACAAATTAATCATTGTGAGAGTATAACAAGTGCGTTCAGATGGTTGATTACAAATTAAACCACTGTAGACTTTAACACCGGAGGATGTCCAAGGTCATTCTAAAGAGCACGTTTGATTAAAGCTGTTTGGACAAATGATTATTTGTTGTACTCAAGGGTTGGAGCTGAGTTTCAAATTCAGACCTAGTGAAGTTGTAATTGTTAGTTTGTTTAGTTTTATTTTTCATCATGCAGTGTTGATACTGGACTTAATTTAGTCCTGATTTAGATCTGGTTAAAGGTGGTGGGGAATATGCCAACAGCTGTTTCCATGCCAAAGTATAGCATTAAACTTATCTATCTAGGATTTATTTCATTATGGGTATTTATATTAAAAATGTCTTGAAAAAACAAACTGCCTCTCACTCTCCAGAGACTGTAATTTGGTCTAGTGGTGTAACCTGCTTGTCTCCATCGAGATAAGTTAAATGCCACTAACAGTAACCCTGGTTTTTTAGTCTGTCCACATCTCCATCTCCAAAGCTCAAAGGCTCTATTCCACCTTGTGATGTCATGTAGTGGTAGTTTTTATGTTAACATGTACTATTTACCTTTTGTTCAGTATACCTATAGATTGGCATTTCCAAGGCTGAAATCATCCCAATGATTCTAGAGAAGGTCAATGGAGTTTAAACGCACAGTGGAGTACTTCTTTTATTACCAGATGACATCACACGGTGGGACAGAGTGTTTTCACTGAGAGAAAATCTCCTACATATACAGTGTTTGTGCGTTAAAAATATGTGAATGAAACAAAACACAACTCCAGGCAAGTCTGTGATGAGGAAACAACATTATAACACAGGTCAGAAAAGAGCGTAATACGGGCCCTTTAAGTGTAGGCCTCTAGCCCTGATTTAATCCTTGTGATTTAGAGGTTAGGGTTGTAATTTTGTGGGATTCTTTGAACTGGATTTCCCTGATTAGACAAATAAACAGTCAGTCCTGGTTTTCAGAGGCACATTACCCATACAGCAAACATTTTAGATGACTTGTGGCGCATTTGGGTATTATAATCTCATTCAACCCAAGTGCGGTCTTCCCTTTTCTTTCTCGTTTAGAGCGAGAATGAACGCTGTTGTGTGTAAATCACATCTTGAAGTCTGTGATCATAGCGAACGCATTCTGTCTCTCTGAACGCGCTATAACAAAGCACTCTGCACAAATTGCTCTGACAAATGATCGCGTTCGTGCGTTTGCAAACACATGGCGCACACATCTGGACATTACACGTGTCATATGGCCAAATGCCTCTTCTCCGCCGCGGGATAATGACGAGAGCACACTGTAGCGACGAGATGGCAGGATTAATACGAACTGTAAAAACTAACAATTCAGCTACAGGCTGCAGCTGCCAATTAGTCACCCGCCCCGTGTTATTTCCTGTTGGGAGAGACGGCATGCCTTGAAGATTTGATGTCTTATTCTGCTTCGTACTGTAAACCGCAGTCTCTCTCTCACATGTAGTTTTGTTTTTAATCAGCCTTTCCCAAAGCGTGTAAGCTCTTTTTTTTAACTGAGGAAACCAGACTAGAAGTTATAATAGACTTGGTGCGCTTTCTTCCTAACTTGACACTCAAAAATACATCGTAGGCGTTTTCTTCCTTACCTGTATGGCTCTTTGGTAAACATGTCACTCACGTCATCAGTTTGTACAATTAAAACACTACACAGAAAAGTAAAAACTAGTTATTTTATTTTCAAATACCACACATACCTTGCACTCACCCTGATCAAAGCTTTCTACAACACATGTTTACCTTGATACACTGATGTTGGTGTTAAAACATATTCACCATACCTACAGCTGCACTGCATAAATCACAACTAAATCAACATATGTATCTAAAATAACTTTGTATTATTCATAAAAATTACACAAATTGTAAAAACAGATGAGTATATGGTATGACATCTTTACAAATCAGTGATATGTTTTACGGTTGGTTCATTTTTTCTTCCTGTTTGCAATGTTGCTACAAATCCAGTTCATGCCATCCTGTAGAAAAAGAAAACATGATTAATAATTATTATGAAATGAATAATATAATTGTGTTTTTGCCATCATTAGACTCTACAAAAGCTAATTTGTCTCTAACAATTAACCCACTTTCTAATAATTGAGTAGACAATAAGCAGAGGTCTGTGCACCGATTTGAGTAGTTTGGAGGAGCTAACACTTTGAAATACTCTGTGCATGATATCTCTGTAATCCCTCAGTCATCCAAGTAGGATCCATTGCAAAAGAAAAAAAAAATATTTTGTCAGCTTTTTTTTCCTTCCAAGCGCCACTTGGATGAGCTGCAAAACATCTTCATTCAAAAAAGAATATAATTTTTCTTTCGCTACTCTGTGTATGACGTGCTATAACCCACATATAAACTTGCCTTGACCTGTCTATGCAAATCAAAGTGGATTGCATTTTTCGTAAAATGCAATCCACTTTGATTTGTATAGAAGAAATAAGAAATAGTTATAAAATGTACAAAAGGAGCAGAGCAGCCTCCATAAACACATTAAGCATGAGATACCAGCAGTGTGTGTGTGTTAATTTAGGTCAGTCTAATGCTAAATCAATACAGTCCAAAGAGGAAGGAGTAAGCAGAGAGAGACTCAGACCTGGACTCCCTCCCCAGACACGGCGGAGCAGGCTTGGATCTGCCATTCTCTGTCACGGTATGTGTGCAGGTTCAGCCCCTCTGCGATCTCACTGGCCGGGGATGCAGTGGCCAGGTCCTGTTTATTGGCAAAGATGAGAACGGGAACGCCCTTCAGGTTTTCCTCGTCAATCAGCTCGGACAGCTCCTAAACACACACATACAGGCAGGCATATTAGGTATCCATGGTTTTTAGGAACATTACTTTGAGTTATATTCATTTCATGGAGATTCATCCTAACCTCAACCATAATTATTGCTAACCTAACCACAGCAAACCTTAAACTTTTAACCTATTTGAACCCATATCTGAAGTTAGCATGTTGTTAATCTAATAATCATAGATTTACATCATGGGGATCTGATTTTTTCCCCACAAAGGAGGCAGATCCCTGTTAACCAGACCCCTGTTTTTGTGTGTGTGCAGATTTTAGTCTCCACAATGTAATAAATACCCCCACACACAGATACAGGCAAACATACATTAGTGTACAGTGTTTCAATCAATGGCCTACATATTATAGCCTAATGTACACGGATCACTCCTCCTTTTCTGTTAATAAAACATTAGCACAGAGATCTCACCAGTCCGGTCTCCTCAAACCGTTTCTTGTCTGCACTGTCGATAACATAAATCTGTAACAAAGTAAAACAAATTTAAGAGGGAATAGGAGAAATATGTTTAATGTATTGGTAAAATTAAAATTGCACTTACCAAAAGGTCTGTATTTTCCAGGTATTTCTTCCAGAAGGCCCTGATCTTTCTTTGTCCTCCGATGTCCCATACATTGAGTTTCATTCCGTGAGAAGCCACACTCTTTATGTTGAAACCCTAGAAAAAAATGACAAACTAATATCACTATACTATATCATGTAATATCACCTGTGTCTCAGCAAGAAAGTTAACCACATACTTTGAAGAATTTATTTTGATCTTGTCTCATAAAAAACGTGAAAAACAGGACTGTTCATCTGGTCAAAGACTAATGTATGAAGAAATACAGTAATTAATATCTAATAGTACAGAAAAACAAAACTATACATTAAACAATACAAGTTAAATGGCTGAAATTATGTAGTTAGTAATATTTCCAGCCTCAAGTGATTACAGGCGTGCGCTTGTGTAAGGAAGGGCATTCAGCACAAATAATGCCAAGTTAATATGCCCATTCCTGTATACTAACTTTTAACATGAATCCTTGTGATGATAACCATCTTTGTTTTGGGTCTTTTCTTCCACAATTGTCCTCTTTTTTGTTTCTCAGTATTGCAGAGCTTGTGTAGCCTCTTTATCCTGAAACGTGGTTGAGGAGCTAATCTGAGGGTAAGACTGGACGGATCAGCCCAGTGTTCGTGTTTATACGTCAAGTGTGATTTAGATTTAGTGCGATTATTGCCTTGTTGATGCCACTCCACACTTTACTGTGACTAATGTAGCTGTACTGAGGAAGCATGTAGTAGTTAAAGGTCCTATATTACACAAAATATTCTCTTATGAGTTTTAAGCCAAGTTAGAATGCTGTTAGCTCATCAAAAACATACCGAGAGCTGTGTTTTGCTTCATTCAGACATGTCTGAGTAACCTTTTATCATTAATCTGCCTACATCTTTAAAGCTCGAAATCCTCAGTTCCACCTTGTGATGTCATGTAGTGGTAGTTTTCAAATAAACAGCTACTTTTTGTTCAGCATAGAGAGACAATTCCAGGGCTGAATTGAGCCAAATGATTCTAGTGAAGGGGTGTGAAGTTTGAAAACACAGTGAAGCACTTCCTGTATTACCTCATGACATCACAAGGTGGAACAGATTGCTTTTTCAAGAGAAGAATTAAGGCCTAATCATGAAGTGTTTGTCTGTTAAATACGTGTGAATGAAACAAAACATACAGGTGTGTTTTGATGAGGAAACAACATTATACCATGGATCAGAAAATTGTGTAATATGAGCCCTTTAAATACCACAACAATAGGATTTTAAACTTCATATTGGGGTATGTCTGTTTTTTCCTATGAACAATGAGTCTGTAATAAAGGAATCTATCTAATAAGACCAACCAACCAACCACATCTTACACACACATTTATTCTGCTAGTCCACTTTGAGAGCTGTTATTTCATTTTGCAGAACGCTTGAAAAGCAAAGGTCATGTGAATCCTATTACTGTGGAGGAGAGCATGGTCCAGCTGGTCTCACAAGATTAGATCCAATCCCCCAGCCTTTTGTAATACTGCCTGCACAATGTACATGCAAAATAAAGGCCAAAGAAAAGTTACCTTGGCACTCAAAAATGATGCGATTTAGATTGGCCTGTACCTGAGTGTCTGTGTTGGTGGTACAAATTAAACAGTGTTCACCAGTTTGCAGACTGCTTAAGGTACTTACTTGCGTTGGTGTGATAGTGTTGACGTCTTCTGAAGCTAGACTCTTCAACAAAGTGGTCTTGCCTGCGTTGTCCAGTCCTAAAAGCACTATTCGAACCTCCTGCTCCGTGGTCCCCTTCAGCTTCTCAACCACAGAGAGTAAGCCCTACATAGAACAACGCAGTGGCATTTAGATGAATAGGCCTGTGGATGTTTGCAGGCTAATTCACACACTGTTTTAGCATTCTCAACATCCCTCATTATTTATACAGTTTACCTATCTTGGGAAAGAGCACCTCCGACAGGTCATTCATCACTGCGCGTTTCAATTTAGTTAGTATTTGTGACTTGAATAACACATAGGGAAGAGGACCCTGAACTACCTGTACCATCTATTATCCTGTTTTGAGAGAAATTATATTTAAATATAAACTTCAACACACTACACAGAGTTGACCTAACCCAACCTGTCCCATCCTAGCTTTTAATGGCTCCAACTGGCCCTGTAACACTTAATCTTTGACCTAATTTAGATTAGAGCACAAGATGATGAATGCTCCATTCACATAAATGGAGTATAATGTATTAAGGTTTCACAATTGCTGGCAACATGAAAAAAAAAGAAAAAAGAAAAAGAATGGCAATTTTTGTCACTTTTACTTGTGTTGCAAATAGATTATAATGTGGTCATTTCTGATAGTAGTAGTGCTCAAGTAATTTTAAATGCTGAATGGGAAGTATTGATTGAAAAAACAAAACAAACAAACAAAAAAAGTTAAGACTGCCTGTTTTTACTGTAAATTGGTGGATATTTTGATGTATTTTAATTGTGTTTCTTAACCTGCCCAGGAACTGCAGATGGAAACTAGTTCAAGCTAAATCTGGAGTAAAGCATCTCCTCTTTAATGAGTTTAATTCATTAACAAAACAAACAAACAAATAAACTAAACTATTTTCATAATAAATCTACCTAGTTCAAACATTTGTCACTTGTTACAGTCTGATGAATATATGAACTATTTAAAAGAATGAATTTAAGTATGTTCTCAGATCTAGTTCAGGCTCTTACCTTTTGAGCTTCTCCCATCTTGCTGTCTACCCTGTGGCCTATCTGAAGACTCCAGCTACATTCTCCAGTGACCAGCACCTAGGTGTTTTTAGCTGTCCAGGTGTCCTGGGTTAGCTGTCGACAAAAGCCTATGACTGGTTCCCCCTTTATTCTCCCAATTCTTGAAGTTTAAGTGTGATAGTAATGACTAGCTCTACCTGTTAATTTGCTCCTCAGGGTTAGCAAGAAGGAAGAAGGGGGAGGTGGTGGATGGGACCTAGGATTAGAAGGCCAGAATTAGCCTTGGTCATCCACACATAGGCCATACCACACACTCACCCCACCCCCAGAGTAATGTCTATGCCTGCTGCTCCTCCACTTTGCACTGGCTTTACCTGGATTATCTCCTCACCACCTGCTATAGGAGGAATGGACAGTGCTCCTAACTGTAACACAGACACAAGTACATGAGAGGAACAGTACTGTGGGAAAATGCTTTAATGGACAACAACATGTATGGCTTAAACTTCCAAGGATTAGGTTATTTTTCAGAGGGCAGCTTTATTTCCCTGTGTATCCATTACATGAGTGGCGTCCCAAAGCGGCTCTATGCGCGGTGATGTGCAGAGCTGTGAGCAGAGCATTCGGGCAGGATTATAGTCTCACCACGCCTGCCTCTCTGGATTAAAACATTTGCAGACTCTCCTCCTCAACTCCACAGGCTTTGTGGTCAAGGGGCGTGGCGATGTTACTGCTGTGGAACACAATAGATGCTTTCTGATAGCCCAGATCAGTGGTTCTTAAAATGTGGGGCAGGTGCTAGTTATACTCCTACGTCTACTGGTTTTGTTTGTTCATATTTAGCACATTTCTCTAGTCCAGATAAAACCTTTCTTAGAGCTGGTTTAGTTCTCTTTGTGAATTGGCTTGGACAAATCTGCTTGTCCCTTATTTTAGTTGAATTAAATGTATGTACATCCATGGCAATTTAAATACTAAAACATATATTACATATAGTAACAGTATACTAATAAATAAAAAGTATAAATAGTATAACTTCTGTTCTATTACTATTATTATCTACTGTGGCCATGGATCAAACTACAACACAAAACCCACAGCATATTAGCCTACATAACAGCGCTATGAACACTGCAGGACTATGTTGGTCTTGGGTTTGATGGCATGGCAGGATTCTGCAAATCCTGAGCTCTCCGCATTTCCTGCATCCTCTCCTTGGTCCTCTGTTGGTTCTTGACTGTAAAGACAAAGAGGGTAAAAAAAAGTAATTTCATTGTAATGTATTGTATTGTGTAACAGGTAAACTTGCCTTTATCTCTGTGCATCTTCACTTTCATGCAAACGCCCATGATGGTGATCAAGCCCACAGCAGCGCAGCCACAGATCACCAGAATGATTACACTTTCATCTAAATTAATTTAGATTAAGCTTTAAAACATTGTTTTAAACATCTGCTTAAATTAACTATATATTTTAATTCAATTATCATTGTCTAAACTTTACACTCCATAAACTACATAATGCTATATTTTTCCTAGCACACTTTAGAGAGCAAGTGGATTTTCTTACTGTGAATAGTGACATCGTGTGGAGCAGACGTGTAATTGCCACACGGGCTGTAGACTACACAGCGGTACTGGCCAACGTCCTGAGAGAAGGTCTTCTTGATTATGTACTCTTTCCCATGCCCCTCAACTGATTTGTCATTCTTGTACCACTCATAAGTGACACTGAGGTTCTCAGGGAGATCATGGACACACGTGAGAGAGACCCTCTCGGCCTCCTCCACATTAGACCCAGTGGTGTTAATGGATACACTGAAGTCTATGCGTACACACACGCACACACACACACACACACGCACGCACGCACAATATATAAGATCAAAATTATAAAGTCAAGAGTTTAATTGTGCAAAGGCAAACGTCTTTACCTCGAAGTAAGTTGCAGTTGTCAAACGAAGCTGTTATTAGGGGGGAAACAAACATGCATTAAAGGTCCTATATTACGTGATAATTGACTCTTGTGAACTTTATATGTGCATTGTGTAACTTTTGTTGTGTAATCCGTCAAATACGTTTCTCCATGGAGATCTTATTGCTTTCTCTGGAATGTTTCACAGTATGGTGTTAAACCTTTTAATCTTCATGGAGACAAAATCAAACTAAATTACAGGGCAGATCTGTGGAGAATCAACTCACAGCTCACAGTCAGAATTCCATTTTTTTAATTATTATGTTATTTTTGAGCTATAAAACCACCTGTAATTTAATACATGAGGAGCTGTTTAATGTCATACTGAGGAACATTCCATGCAGAGCAATGACATATGCATAGAAACAAGCAGGTGATGGACAAAAAGTTACATAGTACATCTTTAAGCCATGTTAGAATGTTGTTACCTTGTCAAAACATACGTGGAGTTGTGTTTTGTTTTATTCACACATTTTGAGTAATCCTGTCTGTCTACATCTCCAAAGCTCAAAATGTTCGGTTCCACCTTGTAATGTCATGAAGCGGTAGTTTTCAGGTTTTATACTTTTACCTTTAGTTCAGGAGAGATTCTAGGGCTGAAATTATCCAAATGATTCTATTGATGGTGTATGGAGTTTAACATGTAATCTTAACCTATTATTAGCTAGTTTCAATTCAGTGATATATATAACACTAAACACAAAGTCTAATATGTGTGAATACAAACCATTTACACATTCAGTTGAGCAGTGCGCACATAACCCTATAAGATAAAATGAGTTATTTGTTTCATTTACTTTTTTAAAGATTTATATTAAAGTTGCTTGCTGATAAAGTAATGAAGAACACTTTTACCTGTTTCCCCAGTAACCGGACATTTCAGGCACTCTTTAGGCATACATTCAATCAAGAAGGCACACTCTACAGACATAACAGGCAAATACAGCTACTTTTACAATGAGGAATGCATGGAACTTGAATCATATTATTTGATTTACTTACCTTCAAAAAGATGACCAATCAAAATGTATAAGAAGAACACTCTGAACAACATCCTGATAAAAAGGTGTAGGCTTATCATTATCCTTCATGATGCATTATTTGAAAAAGGTAGAGAAACTGTAGGCTTTACCTGATGGTGTTCTTCCATAGATGATGTACTCTTTTGCTTGTACAAACAGTTGGCCTTTAGATCGAAGCAGAGCTGATCATAAGAACTGATAGCAATGCAAATCCTCCCAAATACTCTATATATGTGGCAAACAGGAATGGTGTTTGCATTTTTACAAGAGGAAGTGTATACAAAAGGGCTGTGTACTGTTGGACCTCTATTTGCACATATGAAAACAAAGCACCAGAAATATGTTACGGCGTGTTTACTTAGAAAAACATTGAAGGCCTTCACACTGAAACGAGGAACAAACTCAGAGAGGTTGCCCTATATGTAGGAATAATAAATAAATAGTCAGATATACAAAGTAGACATTTATGTGTTTAAATCAGATATGAATTATGTTGGTTTATTCACATAAAAACAACAACAAACCTTTCCAATATTATGTTTTTTTATAGGCTACAAGTCAAAGAAAAAAAATCTTTTGACCAGCAGAGGGTGCTACTGACCATTCATTTCGAGTGGCATAAAGTATGCATACGTGGGCAATTTATTTTATTTGACTGAACGGCTCTGGTGGTAGCAGGGTTAGCGTTATTTTATTTTATTTTATTTTTTTGCGTTTGTATAGACGGAAATCTAACCTAACGCTACATAACGTCATATTCAAATATTCGCATTCGTTTTCTAAAAATTTAACTAAATACCCCGTGTTGTATTGGATGGATACTGCGCATGTCCAAACATGTCCTGTGTAATGAGCGCACCTGCAGAGGCCGTGTTCGGTGGTGCCGTGCGTCACGTCGGGGAGTGCAGCGCGTACTGCTGCCTCTGTACTCCTCACGATGGTAACTTTCAGAAGACTTCACCACAGGCTCGTCTGGCTGTCCAGTGTGGTCACACAAAAACCATTAAAGAAATATGAAAGATATGAAAAACTTTGCACTGTTGCTCCTGGCACAAAGGCTGCAAAGGTATGGGCCACAGATTGCATTAAACATCCCGGACTGTGACGTAAATACATCTACTCAGCTTGCTTTCTCCTTATGTCATTTTAGTGTCAACATTTCCACTGCAAAAGGTTAATTAATGGGAATGACTTGTTGCCTATACATTCTTAAAATAAATCTCTATATGAATAGGCCTATATGTAAAAGTGTTTAGCACTAGCAGTACGACACAGCGAGAGTGCTGGATTCAAATCACTATGAGTTCAAGATCACAATGTGCTTGAGTGTTGCTCTGTTATTAATATTCAGTCACTGTTCAAAATCATGGACAAAGGTCTCGGGTTATGGGTGCACACAGACTGGTTGCCTCAGCAGCATTAAAAGATGATGAATAGATTTTCTTATGGGAAATAATGTCTTGAATCTATAAACTATGGTGTTTTATGACAAAACAACTCACCAATGTGGTGAAATTCTAATGAAAGATATGAGTCAACCAAATCAACTAAAAATTGCAGCCATGCTGGTTAGAAACAATTTACATTATAAACGAATCAGTGTTCTTATTTGACTCTCCAGCCACTCAAGCCCTTGACAGATTTTTTATCGCAGTATGCCCCCTTTCATTTCTGTTGACACCATTAACAGACTATTCTGAGCTTTAATGACTGCTTGATAGGTCAACCTTTTTAAAAGCATCTTAGCCATCAAACCTTTCTAAAATTTGCCACACACTGACTCTGAAGTGCCCAGCAAATTTGCATAACAGAAATCAGCCTCCAAGGGGCTGCTGTGTACCCACATTTGTGTTTCTCAAGATGTAGACTCAGAACGGTGTGATCACTGAAACCAAACTTCCTCTTTTGTGGCAAGTTGCTAAGACTTCCCTTTCATACAGGAAGTGGCAGGAAGTCCAAAAATGATGAGTTTTGAGTGTTTATGACAGTGTGAATGGGTGGAGTACGTAGTTTGTCCCACACTGAACATCAGACAATAGTTTGGGTTAGTGAGTGTTGAAGATGTCAAAGAACGGAGCATTCGGGCATATGGTGAGTGAGAAACGCTTGAGTTTTCACAGTTACATTGACATTTCTAGAAAGTATCAGAAGATTTCTATTGGTACTCATCATGTATTTGGTTAAATGGTCTTTTTGGCCCCACGGTTGGTCAGATGAAAAGCTTGAGTCACAGACAGAACCACAGTGGTACCAGTCTGTCATGTGTAGGATGAGAGGGCCTGTGTTTAGGGCAGCTGCTAATCTGGTGTTAAAGACATTTTAAGAAGTTTCTTTAGTATATCCTCCTATGGTGCATATATGTAACAAAGCATTGATCTTTGTCTTACTTTCTACATAGCTTTTGTCATACAAAATGTGCCTGCATATTGGGTGTTCATCTTGTGCATTGATGCGTTGATTAAACTAAAAGGGGACGTGAAGTGAAAGCTAACCAAGATCTTGCATAAACACATTTATTAACACATAAAATCATCGTTTGAAAAGGCGGCTTAAACTGTCCAGTTGCTCCTGAAACTCTATGCCGTCTTCTTTCTGCTATGGTCAATACATACCCTAATTAAATAATTAGTCTAGAACAAATAATAATGAAAAAATTACTAAAGGACTACAGCAGTAGTTGTCAATGTCATATTATTGCTTTCAGAAGAGTTGTAGGTGTCAAAATTCAATAGGAAGGAACTCATAATGCTACGATTCTGTAATAGTCACACACACCATAGCTAACGTCTCTGTGCCTTATACAGTCACACACACAAATCCTATTGCTTTTAATAACTATGCTGGAATGTAATTTGTGTGATTTTGTCCCACTTTATTGTCTATCAAAATACATTCTTGTTCATAGAAGTCGGACAAGATCTGGCAAGATATTTTACTTAAGTTTAGGCATCAGAAGTTGAATGAATTATGCCACAAGCCACTTCCTGTGAAAACACGATTGCTTGAGTTCTCAGTTCTGTTTCAAAACTGCAGTGCTAACTGCTGTAGTACTTCACTTCATTAAATATGTTTTAAGTGCAGCACAGTGTGCAAGGTAATTTAAATTTTCTTTGCTTTTCTTCGCAGAGTCAGGCTGTGTCAGATGGAGGTAAATATGAGCTGCTGGTGGATTGCCAAAAGTCACTGTACAAGTGAACATGTTGTGGCACGATGCTCTGTTATCTGATTTCGTCTGTGCTGGTCATGCTTTTGTGCTCATTAATGGGTGTGTTTTCTGTGATGTGCTGTAGAGTTGAACATGTCTGCACGCAGCTGTGGAGGCAGCAGCTCCAGTCTTCCAGGGACCCCAGGAGGAGCGGGTGACCCCGCCAACAGTGTGCTCCGATGGGCTGTCTCATTTGAAAACCTCCTGGAGGATCCCTGTGGTGTGCGGTACTTCACGGTTAGACAAATTAAATATGAAATTATTTGCTCTCCACCTGTCATCTGTGTTTAAACTGTGTTTGTCCACAGGACTTTTTGATGTCTGAGGTCAGTGCAGAAAACATCTTGTTTTGGCAGGCCTGTGAAAAGTTCAAGAAAATCCCTGCTACATCTTTGAATGAGGTGAGTCCCAATAGAGCAGATGTCTCAGAATCCTTTGCCTCCAACACTGCTCTGTACGATATTATTTGCATGTGTTAGTGTTTTGATTCGTTGGATCACAGACTTGCTCTAAATAGAGTTTCCTTATTGTGCCTATAGCTGAAGACAACAGCCCGCTCTATGTATAACATGTATTTGTCTGAGAGTGCTCCGTACTCTGTGAACATCGATGACACTGCACGGGTGGAGGAGCAGGACCTGGAGCAGCCTGTCCCCGACATGTTTAACCAGGCTCAAGCTCAGGTCAGTCCTCCCTCTGCTCTTGTGTCTGACCTTCAAAGCTCATCTGGCCTATTTTCCTGCAGATTTTCAAACTCATGAAGATGGACAGCTATCGGCGCTTTGTGCGCTCTCCACTGTACCAGAGCTGCACTTTAACCAGTGTTGAAGGGAAACCTCTGCCTCCTTTGTCCTCAGAGGCAAAAAAAGGGTCTCAGGACAATGTGAACAAGAGCCCCCGCAGTGACAAGAAGGTCCTGCCATTTACACCAGAGACATAAATTATGTTAATTCATCATCAGTTTAACTTTTACCATCTTGCAACCAATTTTAATATTTTTTTCCTAACAGAACAGAAAGTCAGACTTGAGTGGCTTAAGAAGTAAACACCATGAGAAAAGAGGATCCTGGGGAGGTAGACTCTGTTTTATTTTTTTCATTTATTTATTTTCATTTTCCCATTTTATTTGCTTTATTTTAATAGAAGTAGAAGCTTCAGCAGCAAATATCATGGCCTCCCGAAAAGAGTCCCAAATGTCAACAAAGTCCACCAGCAATGTGGAACTTGGTTCCCTCTACAGGCAGATTGAAGTGGGAGCATGTGTTAAAGAAACATTCTGTGTCTAATGTTGAAGTTCAAAATATAAATTTTTTTGTATTCTTTAGAATGGGAGGAATAGTGCTCTGTCCTCAGATGACAGTGGGCGTGGCCGGCTAGGAGTAGAAGGCGGTTATTGCTGTGTGTATCTGCCTGATGGTAGTGCATCTCTGGCCCCTACTCGGCCTGGACTGCCCATCCGAGACATGCTGCAGGGCCTGTGTGAGAAGAGGGCCTTCCCTCTCAAAGATGTCATCATTTATCTTCACGGCAAGGACAAGGTGATGGCTGGGTCTATTATTAAGGACAAATTCACAGACCAAACTACATTTCCTGATTCCTTTTCTTAACTGTTCACTCTCTCTCTGTGGCAGCAGCAGCCTCTGTCTCTGGAACAGGACTGTGCTGTGCTCCGGGATCAGCAGGTGTCTCTGGAGCTCAGAGTGACATTTGCGTAAGTCGACCACTTCCTGTTTTCTTATCGCTCAACCACGCCTTACACCAGCCGCTCTTGGCTCTGTTTTAAATGTTTTAGGAGGAAGTCCTGGCTCTGTGGAGCCCACTGTCGTCATCTATAACAAATACTTGATCAGATCAGTGTGTGAATGTGGCTGTTCTGTGTGGGCCGCTTTGGGTGACAGACAGTTGTTACTTATCACTTACTCACTGTTCTCATGGTAAATGTTATTTCAGGCTGGAGATTGCATTCACTGGTAAGACAGTGGGCATAATGGTAAAGTCCAGTAAGACTCTGCAGGATGCCTTGTCTGCAGTGCTGCAGAAGCATCACCTCAAACTACATGAAGTTCAGCTCTCAGTGGTTAGTAAAAAAAATAAAAAAAAGTATTTGAATATTAGATGTGCAGCCAAAGTGCTTTATTTCTGCCCTGTTGTCTTTTGTGCTGATTTAGGCTGGGAGTGACGCACCAGTGAACATGAACACCAGTGTGTTCAAACTGGCCAACAAGACACTTCGGCTGGACAAAGCCAAAGGTCAGGACATGACCTTTTGTATTGTGTGGCTCCCTTAAGTGAATCAGAGCCAATACGCTTTATGTGCTCCCTCCAGCAACACACACAAACACATAATTAAAACCAACCTTTTGACCTGCACAGTAATACCTTTAAGCTGAGACTTATTGTATTTTGGTTATTGGACAAAGCCAAACTGCATTACAGTTAATGCGTCTTTTCTGAGCACTGCCTGTGCTCTTGTGTTTATGTAATTGTCTCTATCAGGAGCCTCTTCATTGTTGGCTCTAACTTGCTTTTGGCGAAGAGAGAAGAGTCTTTTCACTGTCCACTTAAGTGCTCTGGTTTGCCTGAGTCATACAAAGCCAGCTCCTCTCTCCTGTCTCTTCTCTCTTTGTCTCTCTCATCTCACGCGTTCTCCATCGCTTTTTTCTTCTCATCTCTTTCACTTTCCTTCTTTTTTTCTGTCTTCTCTCTTTGATTGTGACTTTCTCTTCACTTAAACCACTGTCTGACTCGATTTGGTTTGTTGAGTGCTGTGTCACTTTGGGTTCACTGTGCTATTTCTAACCCATAGTCAGCGTCGCTTTATTTCTGTATCTCTCAACTTTCAGGTTTACTAAAAAACGAGGGAGACACAAAAACAGTTTAAAACTTTTCCATTAGATTTAAGATTAACATAACAATTGTGATTTCAGTCCTCTCTTATTCCACTCATCTGTTCCTGTGTAGGGAAGGACCCAAACATTTCTAAAGGCAGTGTGCATACAACCGCTGCACAGGTAACTGCTTTAACACTGAAATTCTCTCTATACAAGGATTCACAATGTAATATTATTTTACAGAATCCTTTTCTTTTCCAGCCTGGAACAGGGACTGAAGGGGACAAGGTGTTGCGATCACAATCGCTCAATGAGAGGAACAAGGCTCAGCCCAAGCCCAGTAAGAACCGCGACATGGATGGTATGACCCCCCCCCCCCAGCTGTATTTGTGGGCCAGTCTAAATACATAAGAGGTTAACATGTATTTATTTTAGCATTTCTTACGGTTTGTATTTATATATCCCTAAAATTGAGTTCATGTGAAATCACATTTAAGCTGCCTGTACTTAGAGCATGAAACAAAAACAGAAAGGTCAAAGTGGAAATAGTTTTTTTAGATGTATCATTTTACTAAAATAGTTTTAAACATTTTATTTATCTTTTTTTGTGATGAAAACTATCCTACTAAACACAAATTATAATAAGAAAAAGTATTTACTTTAAAACTTTAGACCTCAAGATTAATATTATAGCACTATTATTGTGGACACTGTCCCTAACCAGAAATGCTAAAGTTTTAACATAATATGTGAGTTACATATTTAAACTGAGTTCTGTTCCCCTGCCCTCTATCTAAAATTATGACATTTTACACACAAATTGTAGAGTGTCATGAACACATCTCATTAACTTTGAGCTGTGGGCTTTGCAGGGTTTCTGGACATGTTGACCAGAGCACAATGCTGCCGCGTGGATGACCAGAGGGGGCTCCTGACCAAAGACCAGCTTGAGGTCCCTCTCTTTCTGCAGCAGAGTCCTGAAAATGAAGCAGAGAAGACCGAAGAAACACCCTCTGCTCCTCAACCTGCAGATGAGGAGAAGCCGGAGAGTAAGAACCTAAAGAGTCCAACAGAAGAAGACCCCAAAGACGTGAGAGAAACTAATCTCTGAGCCCGTGTGGGAAATATGGGACAAAGCTAACTCAGCTGAGAAGCACTTTTGTTGCACATAAGCTCTGATGCAGACAGAAATCATTTAATAGACTTTGAACACTACAAAAGCCAGTGTTTGATGTAGATGCGCTGAAATCTGTGAGGGGTGAAAATTATTCCAGTTTTAGAACTTTCTCATGGAAAATATGCTCTTATTTAAACTCAGACATATTACAGGGCCAGAGACTTGTCCAAAAGAGTGTACGAAATGAATTTTAATGTGTACATTTTATTAACTGTGTATTTAACATTGTGTTCTGTGTGTGCTTACTTTTTTTATTGTGTTTAAGAGTTCTGCATGCTGTTTTCTGTGACGGCACTTGGACAAATCCTAGCCATTGTTTCGGCCCCTTACTTTTTGTGCGTCTATATAAACAAATCCTTTGAGGAGTGAAATGGACTGAATTAAACTTATGAGCTTTGAGATTTTGTAGAAAGGATTAAATGTGAAAAGATAGATTTTGAGTTTTTGGTTTTGGGTCTTGTCTTTCTCCCTCTGTCAAGATTCACTGGATGATTCACGAAGGTCAGCTCCACTAATACGTGCTTTGGGTTTGTATGTGCTCTGGCTGAGATGACTCATACTTTTAGACCTGTCTGTCACATACGTGAGTGCTAATTCTTACTATTAGAATATTTCTGTGGTGGCATCACAGTTTGTCGTCAGGTTTTGCACAGTGACGGGGGGTGAGAGAGGGACTCTGATTGGTGCTCTATGGAAGATTTGTAGCCAATGCCGTGCCCCATTTTTCACAGACCTGTTGCTGTTAAGTGTTTTTTCATGCACAATTACACCCTGTATTTGGCACTTGTTAAGATTACAGAATAACTGGGATGAGTCATGGGTGACTTTATCTAGATGATGTAAGAAGCATGTATATTTCATATAGTATGTGACTGGGGTAAGAAAAGCATTCACACTGTCTGTGTGCTGAGGGTACCTGCTTTGGATTGATGCATGCTCTTAGCTCCGTTCTGGCTGTTGTTTAGGAAAGTGTTCCCATTCTTAGTGGCATAGAGAAGCTGGCTGTGAGTGCCTGCACACCTGGTGTGTGTGTGTCTGTGCTGCGTCGGCGGAGCTATGAATGGGACTGAGGGGTGTGCTCTCAAAAGCATCGCAGCATCGGCACTGAGCTGAGAGAGAGACATCCTCTGCTCTGCACGTCTGCATTGAGCTCGGCTCCAGACGAGGTGAGTGCAGCAAATACTCTACCCAAATACTGTTTCATTCATTTCTGGGTTTGTAGTAGTCGGTTGTTCTTGAATGTGACCCATTTTTTCTTTCAGTTCGTACTGGCTGTGTATACTTGTCATCAACATGAACTATCATTTTGATTACTGTAAATGGTGATTTTTGTTTTCATCTTCATGTGTCCCATTTAGTCCCGTGCTCCACACTAGCATGCAGTAGTAACAGTGAATTAACTGTTTATTTATGAACTCACACAGCCCTGTCACTGCCAGAGCTTCCTGCAGATGAAACAAGAGCTGTCAAACAAACTCATTTGTAAGAGACGTTTTTGGCTCCAGACCTCCTCAGTCTAATGTGTGAAGGACAGAGCTGCCTCTGCTCAGACCAGTGGTCCTGTCGCACTATTTCAGGCGGGACACATACGGCTGATCTCTGAGCAGCTGCAGAGGACCACCACCACATTCATATTCATCTGACGAGCTCCCATTCTGCCTGTGTGTATGTCCCATACTGTGTGTGCATGTCCAATACTGTGTATGTATGTCCCTTGTTGTCTGTGTATGTTCCATACTGTGTGTGTGTGTATGTGCACGTGTCCCATACTCTGTGAGTGTATGTGTTCCATACTGTGTATGTCCCATACTGAGTGAGTATGTGTATGTCCCATACTGTCTATGTGTATGTCCCATACTGTCTATGTGTATGTCCCATACTGTCTGTTTTCATGTCACACTAGTATGACAGCCCACACCGCCCATTCCATCAGTTATAAGGACATTCTGTCCACTGGTAGCAGCAGGCATGACACTTTTCATGTGCTCATTCACAGTCTGCTCGCCCTCCCCTTTGGTCTGTATCTAACCTGTAATTAAAAGTAATATTCTTAGTGGGCTGTCTCATTAAGATCAACACAACTCAGGAAATCAGAGGTACCAGCTTTGGCCCAACTCTGGAGAAAGACTTGAGTGACCTTTTAACCCAAATACTATTAGTCTTCATGAAGAGCCTGTTAGCTCAAAGCTGTTAGCTCATAGCTGTGGGCAGATCAGTCATCACTTAAGCCTGGCTCAATCTTTTATTATAATCAATCAGAAAACACATAGGTCTGTGAAAGGTTAGTCTCAAACATTTGCAGGTTGGGGTTCAAAGACAGAAGCAGGGTGTGCTATGGTAAACTTTCAGCTTACATGTGAGTATGCTTAAAGGATAGTGGCAGGAGTAGGGCTGTGAGATCTTGGGGGCTAAATATTCACTTTGCTCAGTCTTGTAGAAAGAAGTGCCTTTTAAAAACGTCTCTGTATTAGTGTGTGGCACAGTTTTCATGATTATGTAACTCTTATCTGTGCTGATGTGCACACAAGACAGATAGTAGTTTGTGATGTGCACCCTTCATTATTTATTCACTGTGACCTCACTAAGGCAGCTTAATACTAAAGATACTCATTCATACGTGACATATTTGACCCTGATCCTCCACATTTAAATATGGGTCAGTTCGTTTGGTGAACTGGTCCAAGGAGCACAGTCTCTCTGAACAAAATCTATTCACTAAATGCTTAATTTCTCTGAGGACAATGCTGCATGTAGTACAAAGATTAATTTTTACTCATGAATGTATAGTACATGGTTTTACTTGGTCTATTCTATTCCCAGTCTAAATGTAGTTGTGTGAGGGTGTCCCCCCCCCAGTCTCTGCTGGGGACAGGGCTGACTCCAGCTGTCTCTGTGGGAGTGGGCTCCTGTGGATCTCGTCCCATTCATTCTTTATGAAGCTAAACCTCAGCTTCCAGTGCAGAGGAGACTGGTCTTGGATCACAGTGCCAAACAATCAAAACCTGTCTGTGTTTTGCTCTGTGCAGAAGGGAATTCAGCTTCACTTGATCTTTCTGTTTACCCATGGGCTCTCCATGGTGGGATCATACAGCCTATGGTTGGGACGCACTATCTGCAGAACTTAGGCTTAGACAAATCTTATTGACCCACAAGGGAAATTACATTAAGACATTGCAATATAGTATCATAGAAAAATATATAATATAATAAGAAATTAAAATCACCAAACTTTTGTGTGTAAGTCCCCTGTTAGTTATTTCCTCAGCAATCATTCTGGACAGATGAAGATATTTACATTTACATAATTATTGTTATGTAGAATTGGTTGTGTATCAAAATAAATTCATCAGCCTGACCATGCCATGCTTTTAAATTTGACTATTGAGAATCACTGCGTGTATAAAATACATTTCCAGAGTAACTTCCTCCATCACCACTTCAACTGTGTATTTTCTATAGATATTTGCTTCATTTATAGCTTATATAGCATGTATTTGCTGGTTGCAGTTTACTGTTACAGATAGTAGAGATCACGAAACAGTCTCCAGCTGAATTGATCCAAGTAGAAAGTGGTCCTCATTGCAGCACATCTTTGAACCACACATCTCTTCTTTCATGTATTTATCAATGCCAAGTTCCCAGTAACATATTCATCCTGACCTTGAATCCCCAGCATCACACAGAAGTAGCATCCTTACAATCAGAGCCAATGTTGGTCAAAAACAAGTTTCAAATTACCTTGTTTTTCTTTCAATCAGACGCTGTGATTGGTTCATGTATATTTCAGTGTTACAATTAGCACCAAACCCCAGAGGAAACCACTAAGCAGAGCGTACAAATCTTGTTATTACTGTACTGACAAGTCCACAGGGCGCCATCTAGTGTTTGGAAGCTCTTAAAGCAATAAATACAGCACAGATGCAGAAAACAAAACACACATACACACACACTAACTGTTTTGTTCACAGATTTCCAAACGCAATCTAGACTGAACAGTCACAGGTGACATTTTCTATTGAGCTGTCTGCATTATGGAGCAGAAGATGAATGAGGTCAGTGTGAAATGTCAAATATTTCTTTTTATTTTTTAGCTTCAAACTAACTATGAGATTATCTCCAGGGTCCTAACAACACATCTCCTCAAAAGCAAATGAAGAACCGGTCTAAGTCCATAGAGGAGACACAACACATGAAGAAGGTAAAGCAGTTTGCTTATCAGTATTTAGTATTAAAATCTTTGTGCATTTGTATTCTCTCTTTGTCCATTTTAGGCAATTTCTTCACAGAAATCCCTTCCCTGCAGACCAGAACTGGAAAAGGTGAAGGTGAGTTTTACAACAGTGACTCAGGTGAATTTTGTAACTTTTCCAGTGGAGGGTCCATCAAATCCTTTTTTCCATTGAAATGTTATTCCTTTGTCTTCACAACCTTTTTATTTTCAACAAAACCAAACTAGACCAAGTTACAGGTGAGATCTGTGGAGAGTCAAACCCACTCAGTCAGAATGCCAGTTTTTTTAGATATTTTTGAGCAGTAAAACCACCTGTGATTGAATAAATGCAATATGGAACTGTTTAATGTCATACTGTGGAACTTTCCAGGCAGAGAAATGATTTATCCATAGAAATAAGCAGGTGACAGACCCCCAACCAAAACCTTTCTAACTAAAAAGGGACCAACCAGAGTTAATTTTGTCAACTATTGTTTATTTGCTGACTAAAGATAAAATCAATCAATCTGACTAAAAGTGAACATTCTAATCTGTCAAGAGATACTGTTGTTAGTTTGTATCCCACACTTGCCAGGCCATACTGTTGTTGTATTCAACGCTGTCATCTACTTTACCTGTGTGAATGAGTTGGTTAGCAGTGGTGGATGAAGAGGCCTTTAATTCAAAATGGCATATCTCCTTCAATTATTACCAGTAAATAACAGTCTGGTGTAACATAGCATTATGCATACTCAACAAACTGCAAAACTCTGAGTACTCTGGTGAATTCAAGCCAGAGTATTTGAACCGTAACAATTCTGTCAGATCTGGAGTATCTGCATCAGCTGTTTACCACTTATGATTTTAGTTGGATTGATATTAGTGGTTGGATAGATATTAGTGGTGTAAATTTGTTTCCTCAAATAAATCATACTGTATAATGCTGTGTGTTGCAGGAGTGTCCCTTAGACTCTGACACACCATCCTCCTCCATTGAGCACCTAAAGTGATGACGTCACCATGAGCCACTAGTGTTTACAGTGGAATAATATGTTAATGTGCACACAAGTACACACAAGTACATTATGTTTAGTACATATCTTTATAGAAAATAAATGAAGTTAAATGTTGTAAGACAATCGCATGTGAACAGCTCAATAGCCATAAAGAGAGTGATCCTGTATTCTGTTTAAATCTGAATGTGATAAAATCATGTCCAATCAGTCAAAT